AATGAAACTTTACAATAATATAGCTTTTACATCAAAATAAGACATAGGCTATAATTTATATACGTATTTTATGTATATCTGTCTTTCTGTCTGAATGTTACGCCTTCAGCCTTTTCTTCGCAGACGTAGTCGTGGGTTGCAGCTAGTAGATCATAAGATTGATGAAATGGTGGTAAGGTTTTAAAAAATGTTAAATATAAAATCGAATAAACGACAATTTTTACATCAATGTAAATTGTAATTTATTGCACCTATTATTTTACCACAGTAGTATTTTATCGTATAACACGTCAGCATTTACACACAGACTTGTTAATTATTACCGGTTCTGTTATCGGTTACCCTGAAACGGATTGAATATGAATATGAAATTGAAATTAGATAGGCTTACGCTGTTTTTGGGATCAAATTTTGAAAACGGGCAATGTTAATTTCTTGTATTGTAATTAAACCATTAAACACAATGATTCGATAATTTTAAGTGAAAATGTGATGGTGAACATAATTTAGTATTATGCATGTGCTAAACGTACATAAGGGTAGGCTGCAATCTCATCATCAGATTTCCCGATGCCGATTGTAGCCACGGCATAGTTGTACAGTCGCGGGCACTTGTGCAGGCGCAGACGCAATCAGTTGCTTTATCAAAGACCATTCGTAAGAACAGATAATAGCTACCGATCAAGCCGAGGTCCGGCCCTCTCGGGCACCCTCGAATCGGAATGCTAAACGGGTATTGAGTGACAGCCCAAGCCGAGGTTCCCTCTCGGAGGCCCTTGAGCCCAGTATAATCCCGACGGTCCTGATTTGGACAATGGGAAAAATTAATTATTGCGTTGTCGTCGGTTTTGACGAGTGCAAAGTTTGATTCAAATCTGATCGTTCATTGTGGCGTGAAATCATGTTTAAAGATTCCGTTACATTCATACATATACAGGTGAAACTAATAAAAGCGTAAAAATAAAAGTTAAATATATCTATTTTTTCACTTGAGCATTATGTATTCTTGTCCTGGCGGTGATATTTGTTGGACTGTTCGAAATTAAAGTCCACTTTAAAGCAAAAAACCCAGTCTAATATTTCTATTATTTCACCATCATATCACCACCGTGAAGTGGAAAATAAATTACTTTTGATGCTTTAAAATAAATCTAATGGTCAAACAGCATATAAGTGGATGGTTATAAATATTACAATAATATTTAATTAACATATATTTTAAATTAGATTGTCAGTTTCTCAGACACGTGAATGGATTCTATTTAGGCAAATGTAATCTATACAGATAAATAATATTGGCGTGTATGTTTGTAAGATTCAAATAATCGCTGTTTACTAAATGGGACATATACCAAAATAACATTTTTTACAATTTGTGTCTGTCTGTCTGTTGGTTCCGGCTGATCTCTGAAATGGCTGGGCCGATTTTGAAGGGACTCACTGGCAGATAGCTGTAACTAAGGCTAGTTTTAGTTTAGAAATTTTATTTATTGTTATTAATATATACAGCGTATCGTTACAACCGCGACAATAAATGAACACACATGTACAGAATAACTTTTTAAAATTGTATTAAGCATCGACATTCTTTAAACATCAATATTTATCGAGTAATTAAATTTTACAAAACAAATATTTTTAGAACAACCTTACGTATAAAGCTGTAACGTAAAGTTCATCTGTAAAGGTCACAAAGGAAATGAATGGGTTGAATGATTTTAAACAAAATAAAACATCCTGTTAGAAGGAGAGACTTGTAATGCGACATTGTGGCAACCATAGATTTAGATGCTCAAGTCTATGGTGGCAACGACTGAAAACATCTCTGAATGTATGAATTAGTCAGTTGTAGTTGTATAGGATGTTACAAATTTTGTTTCTATTTTATTTAATTAGTTTGTTTGAAAAATATATTTTTAATTATGGAATTTTTTAACGTTTTATATTTTTTTATGATTATTGGCAAGTAGCGTTAGACGTGTTCATTTATTGTTGCGGTTGTAACGACACGCTGTATAATATAATTCCACGTGGACGAAGCCGCGGGCTCAGCTAGTCGAAAATAATGTGTGCTCTTTTTTTTAATATCACTCACTCTTATTTCGTTGTAACCAAAGTTTATTATATTACTGTCATTCAATGCAAATTTTTATCATTGTTTTATTTTTATAAACTCCTAAAATCTTGCATACGAATCTCAGTATAAATTTCCATATAATTTTCATTCTTCGTGAAAAGGGAACACACACATACCCAAACTTTATACTTATAAAGTTGACATTTGCCCCACCTCTCGACGACATTATAAAGAAAGTGATGCACCTTAATAGTTATCGATGAACATAAATAATGGAAAAATATTCCTGCAACACATTTTCTTCGTCTTTTGATATCGTTGTTTCTTCCATTGTGGATTCCATATAATATTTTGGAATATTTAGCTTCGAATTATATTTAGTTTCGAATTTCAATAGGCTCTTGCCACATTACGCTATCATCTATTTTAAAGTATTTTCTAATATTTGAGAGATTTAAAACACGGAAATTAATCAATTCTTCTGTTCAATACTATACAAATTGCGAATTTGTTAAATCTTGACACAATTAGATTTAATTAAAATTATTTGTTTCGCGATTCAATTTGAATCGGTGATTTGTTTTTGCGCGGACGATACTTGTCGATAAATAGGTTGATGTATCGAAAGAACTCAACTCGGTCCTTGGTCGCCTTTCGTCCATACAAATAGTGCAGCACGTGTTAAACCTCTCACCGTTAAAAGTTAATTATGTCCGAGTCTCGTGAACACGCGCACGTTTCCGGCCTCGCCGCGGCCTTGGTACGGCCAGGTCTTTGTATTGTTTTTTTCTCCCTAGCCATAAAGCAGCAAACTGTGTAGCTTTAAATTTCTTGTGTCTTGAATTGTATTAACTGATGTTTTTGCTTTCAGTTCCGAAACTATTAAAGCTTCATCTGACGCAGAACCGATGGGCTAGCCAGAACCCACGGGTTTGGGCCCTCCGCTGTGGGTAGGGCCGCGCATGTGCTCATGCGTGCGTTTAACTACGATATGTCATCTAAGGGCCATCGAAGTTGCGGTGCGGACCGAGACCCCGATGGCCGTCGACTGTGTTTTTAGCTAATCGGTGGCTGGGGGCGGTGAGAACCGCCCTGGAACGCGGGTGTACCTTGTGTACGCGTTGTGTCGCCGTGCTCGGAGGCGAGGGCGAACTATTGTGTTTGTTGTTGCACTAACTGTGGGTGTAGTGTTATCCGGCGGGACCCCCGGCGGTGGGTCCGGCGTATCTAAGTCCCCTTCCTCGACCGGGTCGATGAGGACGTTTCGCGGGCGACGCTTGTTGACGTTCGCGTTTGTGTCGGGTTGGTAATTTGCTGCGCTTACCACCAGAGGGTTGGGATGATGTTCGGCTCTATCGAAGAACCGTTTGGTCAGGACTTTAAAATATTCACGAATCGTCGGGAGTCTGCAATCGCTGTGCAGATCGACCTCGCGTTGATACCACTGCGCACCGGTTGCACAGCGGATGAACTTATTTTGTACTATTTGCAGCTTGTACAAGCGAGTAGGGTGCGTGTGGGCGAAGATCATGCATGCGTAGGACATAATAGGTCGTACGCAGGTCTTATATAATAATAATTTGTGCCTTAAGGGCATTTTACTTTTAACGTTAGTTAAATTGTGTAGCCGGCCGGAGACGAACGCGGCTCTATTACGAACGTTATTAATGTGCGTAGTAAATGACATACGCGAGTCGAATGTGACTCCTAAGTATTTGACCTTTTTCTCCCAGGGGAGCGGTTGGCCATAAAGGGATATTTGCCCCAACTTTCTGCATTGGCGATTGGCCCGGATGGTGTGTACGAGCCTATCTGGCACTTTGAGAGTGTACAGCTTGTAAAGCAAGCCGTTGTGCCAGACTTTGTCGAATGCTTTTGCGACATCGAAGAAAAGAGCCCCTGTACTTATATGTTTCGGGCGGTTTAGGCCTTTTAGGATGTGCTCCGTTAAGCGGTATAACTATATCGGGACAAGAGTGTCTAGCTCGAAAGCCAAATTGTTCCGTCGGCAGAAGGCCGTTCGAAAATACGTGCTCTCTGAGCCTATTTAACAAGAGCCGCTCGTAGAGCTTCCCCAGGCAACTGAGGAGGCTGATGGGACGATAGCTAGAGGGCTGATTGGCTGGTTTATTCGGTTTGCGAATGCCGATAACCGTGGCGTGTTTCCAGTCGTCCGAAAAGGAGCAACTGGAGAGAAGGGTGTTGAAAATGGTCGCCAGTAAACAGATAAGCGGCCCAGGGAGAGCTTTGAGAATTTTATTACTTATATTATCTGGGCCCGGGGCGGATTTCGGTTTTAAATTTTTAATAATATCTTGGACCTCTTCGGGGGTCACTGAATTTAAAGGTTCACCTTCCGGTGGAAGCGCAGCCCTAGTCTCGATTACACGGTCCACCTCCGTTAGGTGGACTGTATCGGTGTGTTCGCGCGATGGCGTACATTGCTGCTCTAGGTTGTCCGCAAGGCATTCGGCTGCTTTAAATTTCAATTCTTGACCGTCCGTAGAGGACTCTGAGCGAGAGGAAGGTGTACAGTTGTCGACACTATAGAAAACCGTACAAATTTATTTTCTATGCAAATAGCGCTTATATCATCGTTATTTTCTTATACATATTTTAAACAATGCATTAAATGGAAAGTCATTAAAGGCCGCCAACGTAATTGTGACTCGTCCGATGCTGCGAGTGTCCACGGGCGGCGGTGAACGCTTGGCATCAAGTGATCAGTTTACCTCCTTTTTCCCAATAAAGAGAATATTCACCCTGGAAAGGGTTCGAAACGTCGGGGATTACAAAATCAAAATAAAAACGCTATAAAATCCGTAAACTAGTTTCATTCAATAAAAAAAATAAGTGTCAAGGAAAGCCAGCGCCAACGCCAACCAGCACCGGTAATGCATGCGTACGTGGTATTTGGGTCCAGGTCCGGTGCGCACGAGGAGCGGCCGCTGCGGCTGGCTACGGAGAAGCCGCCACCGCTGGGCGCCCCGCCTCGAAGCCGCTACCCGCTGGTGGTGGTACTGGCCAGGGACCAGCGGGACACGGCGGACCTCAGGCCCGACGACACGGTGCGTATTGTTTATGTATTCGGCGTGGGAGGGGTTGGGTGGAAAGTTTGGTAATCGGTGGTAGAGCCATGCAGCAGCCTCGGCTGTTGCACGAATGGGCAGGCCCGTCCGGGTAAGTACCACGACCTCACAGAAGACCGGCGTAAAGTGGAAGTATGACAAATACTTTCGCGTTTCGTCTGCTGAGTGAGGTAGCCGGAGCCCAATTTCCAAAAAGGTTGTCAACGCATTTGCAAACCCTCGGGTGTAGCAGATTTCCATGGGCGGCGGTATTCACTTAACATCAGGTGAACCGCCGGTTCGTTTGGCAACTTTTCACATAAAAAAAGTCCAATAGATGGAGTGACGACCTGTGCAAGTGTGCGGGAAGTCGATGGATACAGGTGGCTCAGAATCGTGCTTCGTGCAGCCTGTGGGGGAGGCCTATGTTCAGCAGTGGACTCAAACAGGCCGAAATGATAATGATGGGTGGCCAGTGCCAACGACCACTGCGAACTAGAAGACAGTATCTTTACTGTAGGATAACATTATCCTGTGTTTTTAAGGTTATTTTTTATTGCTATTCTCTGCACTCGAGATGAAACTTTAAATTGTATTTTTTTGTATATAAGTGAACGTCTTCTGGTTTCGTGCTAAGTTTTATTCTGTGTTGTAAGGACATTTTGCATACATACATTTCACGTGGACAAACACCCAGTTCCGCACAAATAGTTGTCCCGTGTGAGAATCGAACTCAGGGCGCCCAAGCTAATACACTTCAGGGAACACTGCTAATTAGTCACTACGTCGTAAGGTACATCAAAGTGGCTTCGGATCTGAGTCGTCTCCATAATAAGAAATATATGACAATGAATAAAATGAACTTTCGCGTATTTTAACACCTAGATGCTAGGCGGAAGGGGCTAAGGCTGACATTCCTATTAGTCTCAAACATAAAGGTCATCGTTAGTGCATAATAATATACTTAAAGAATAATTACTTGGCGTTCCAACGAATCTAATTAAAATAAATTACTATAAAGATAGCATTGATTGCAACTTCTCGTTTTATTATCTCCACATAACAGCGATGGTGCACCCTCCCAATGAATTTTTTGTATACTACCTTGTGAACTAACTTATCTCAAATATATCTCCTTATAACCCCTAATCGTAACTAGTTTTATGGTGTATGACGATACCATGAAATTAAGTTATAATAAATAAATATACCAGTCATAAGATATACCAACAATAAGATAATAATAAAGAAAAAGTAAAGTAACACCCTATACATGTCTCACTGCTGGCCAAAGGCCTCGTCTGTGCAGAGGATATCAGGGCAAAGTCCACCACGCGGCCCCACTGCGGATCGGCGGACTTAGCATATCTTCGAAATATTTTTTTTATTATTATTTCGAAAATATGCAGGTTTCCTCACGATGTTTGCCTTCACCGCTGAGTACGTGATAAATCAGCACTTAACATTAATATTTTTTTTCGTTGAGGCATCAGGGATCGAGTATATTGAATTAAAGCGAGCGTCCGTCACGGCTCCATCACAAAGATAATAGGATTAGAACATATTACATATGACCTAAGATCTCGAGTCATATGGACTACGACGACTACTACTAGCACGAACAGGTACACACATAACGTGATATGTTACACGTAACATTATAAGTATCATTTTTTTATTACATTCTTAGGTTTCATGGAATTGTTAAAAGCTAATTTTTTATTTTTTCTTTCGGATATTTTATAATTATAATATTTATAAATATATATGCTATATATGTTCATATTTATTTATTATTATAGAGTAGATATAAATATTAAGGCAAAGTTTAAAAGTTTTTACATTATGTAAGTATTTGCATGATCTTTTTTAGCTTATTGCACCTACCACAATCTCTCTCCACGCCCCGGGTTGACTGGGAGAGAATACCCAAATGGAATTAAGTCCGCTCTTTGTAATCCTTTTTTTTAAGGTTTTGCAATAAAGCATAAATAAATAAATAAATAAATAATTTTTGGCTACACTATCGCATTGTGTCAGCCTGTAATGATAGTTGTGTGCGTGTGTGTAAATAAATAACTAAATAGTAACACACGTCGGTGTCATTGCAGGTGGCGCTGGTGAGCGTGGTGCACATAAGGGACGAACAGTGCCCGCTGCCCAGCGGCATCATCGCGCAGTACCTCAAGCAGGCGAACGGCCACCTCTCCTGCCTCAAGGTGAGACCAGTTTCAGGAAACGCGAGCTTTTTCAATCTCGCTTATTTCGCTATCGACGATTCCCTTCCTCTTATCCTTTAGGAAGAATAATTAATTCGAATTTAGAATATTGGTTAGATCGATTGGCCTTTGTTATGAATGGTGGGAACGAGCTACCTATTTTTGTATGATCAAGTGATACTTTTAAAAAAATATTATGTAGGAAATTTGATGCATAGTGTTTTATAGTTTAGTTAAAAAGAAAATTAAAGCATCCGAACGCAGCACGAAGACACCGCTTCCACTTTACGAGACGTGATGCGGCGGCGCAAGCAAAAGCACAATTATTGCGTTCCCGCAACTTGACCTTGATATTTCGGTTCAAAATAATCCCATATGATTACTTGTCCACGTCTTACATAATAATATAAAATTAAAGTTATAGATGTTTAAATAAATGATGAATGGGATGTAAATGATAACAAATGCTTTGAATACTGGAAAAGTAGATATTTTAACTAGTATCACTACATTTTGTCCCGTTCATAGTAAGCTGGAAATGATCCTTGCAAATGAATACGATTCCTCCCAAGGATGATTCGCGAGACTATTGAAAATTTCAATACAGAAGAAGGTTGGATATTGCCTACTGCAAGACAAGATAAAATTAGCATTCTCTGCCAACGCCTCACTCTGCCCCGTGACCATGAACGCTGTAAAGGGTTCGAAACGTCGGTAATTAAAACTAAATATAAACGCGATAAACCTGTAAACACAGTTTCATTTCATAACGATCGAAAAGTTGCGAATTTAAAAATCAAAAATAAAATAGTGTCATTGATCCAAGCATCACTTAATTAGTCCTGAAGGGCATTGCATTGCATGCATTTTAAACATAAATACTCCTTATTTTTTTTTATAAAGGCACCATTATCTATAATTCAAATGAGTTACATAAAAATGCAATCTTGATTACTTTTAATTAAAAAAATACGTCTTCTACAGTTACTTTGGTTGAAAATATCAGTGGTTCCGGGCTTCGAATGCTGAATATATTTTCTAAGGTCATAATAGTGATTTCTTATTAGTTACTAAGTTATACGCTTAGAACAGCACGTTGATGGTTCATTTTAAGATGTTGAAGAATTTTTCCAACCAAAGGTTCGTTATGAATGTTCTCCACCGTCGTTGACCTATTTAAAAATGCAGCATTTCGATAAACAATGCATGATGCTTAAAGGCTTTTTTTATTTAATTATTATTGCTCATAATGTAATATGCGTATTGGCTCATTGCCATCAATGCACGTAAAGAGATAAAATTAACACTGACGAATTCAAAACGATTTCTTTAAGTAAGAAATTGTGTATTTCATTTAATACAAATGATTTCATTGAACCTTGCCTAGCTATATATCTACAGTGTCCATATGTGTGTGTTTATTCGCTCTTTTAGCAATATACGTGTTACCCGTTATTTCCAACGTTGTTGAAACGATTTCAACGTATTGTTTTTGTTTTATCTGGGCTTAGCTGATGTTAATTGCTAACCGCCCCATGGACATTTCCAACACCCGTAGGGTTGCAGATTGCCACCTTATAATGTATAATGTATAGTGGGCCCCGGCTACCTCACTCACCCGACGAATACGCAGAAGTATAACACTTCCACTTCACGCCGATCTCTTGTGAGGTCGTGGTACTTACCCGGACGATGCTGCCCATTTTCGGCCACAGTTGTTATACGTACCGCTATAATAACAATTGGGGAGTCTAGTTGTGGGTGTTTGACGACGGGTCCGCGCTCTGTGTCGTCAGCAACTGTACGTGTCCGGCGAGGCGGAGTCTGTGGGGGCGATGGGGCCGGTGGGCGTGGGCGGCGTGGGTGGCGTGGGCGGCGTGGAGGCGCTGTGCTGCGTGTGCGCCGCGGCGCCGCTCTCGCGCGCGCTGCTGCCGTGCCGCCACGCGTGTCTCTGCGCCCGCTGCCTGCGTGAGTACACGCATGCACACGCGCTACCTTCATGGTCCTTCCGACCGGATCCTCTCGCTAGTACACGCACGAATAAACACATGCACACACACGCACGCATACATGGGAAAGCTGGGTAAAGATGGTCCTTCCGACCGGATAATCATGCTAGGACTCCATTGCCGTCGTCATGTTGCATTTGTCAATACAAATCTGTTAACATTTAGATTTTAGAAGGCGTGATTGTATTGTACATATTGTCTTTAGAGGTACTATCCGTAACTTGCTCTCAACAACCAAAGTTTAACTGGAAGAAAATGCTTTTTAGCATTAAGTTCGCCCTTTTACAAACTTTTGGTGCAATAAAGAATTTTCAATCAATTTTATTGAATGCCCATAACTTTAAAGATGTATTTTAACACTATAAAGGGGGAAAAAGGTATATGGAACATGCTTCGTATAACTCATAATTTCGTAGATAACACTGATTTTCGTTAGTATACAGTGTTTAATATGATATATCACACACACGTTGGAACTCATACAATTACGTACGTAAACTTTGTTTACTAAACTCCGCATACATTTACTAAACATATATTCCGCAAAACACATTGCATATATTTCAAGAATGCCAGCTCGAACAATCGTGTATTGAAGATTTTCTAAATTTTATTAAGAATTCTCCTTGAGCTGGTCCCAAAACACAATTTTAGTGATGCCTCGTGAACGGAATATTAATATGAAAAGTACGTATAACCAAAAATGGCAGTTTGTTTATAAAGATTTAGAGAAAGAGGTGTATTTTGGAATAGGTAGTGATTATCAAACAAAGACATATTTTATCGTCGCAGTCCCGATTTTTCATAATTGGCTCTAATCGGCCATCAGCATGTATGTCGCGTGCTCGTCATTGGCACGAGGCGATAAAGAGATCCTCGGCTGGTGAGCGATCCCTCGCTCGGTATGCGCCGCGGCGTCTCTTTCGTAACCCATAAAAACGAATTCGCATCGCGTACGCGGTGAACTTGGCGGCAGTGCCATATACACTCTACAAACGATTAAGCGATCGCCCGATATGTCTACTTTGAGACCGACCTTCGCCGCGACCGTTGCACGTTCAAGTGTTAGATTTTAATGACAAGTATATCAAAATGTTACTAGACATTTGATTTCTTCAAAATCCTTTTTTTTTTGGGAACTCCTACTAGCACAGTTGCAATGAAATTCGATAAAAAAACTCTAACACGACTTACAATATCATTCGAGTCAACACCAAACCTATATATGTATTTTTTGTTCGAGTTGGCGATTCACCTAATGTTAAGTAATAACCGCCGTCCTTGGACATGCAAAATCCGTAGGGTTGGAAATGCCTTGCTCCCTTTATATAAAGTTGGCCCCGGCTACCTCACTCGCCAGACGATACGCACAAGTGTAACATTTCTACTTTACGCCGGTCTTTGTGAGGTCGTGGTACTCAGGCGGACGGACCTGCCCATTCGTGCAACAGCGAAAACTGTTGCGTAGTCCCACTACTATGAAATGTATAATATGAACGTTATAATTATGTACGTACACATAAGATTGAGTGCTGGAACGTCAGATTTTTACTATGAGCTTAACTAAGATCGCGAGTTCAAGTCGCTATAGTTATGTTTTCCGCATCGGCTGCACCTACGTGTCTGCCCCGTGAAGGCTGAACACGTGACAGATGTTTTACGATTTATGGTTGGTTCAATTTTAGGTTCAGTCTTTCCGTATATTCCGATAATGTAACAACGCGAACATCGTTCCATGTGCGTGCAGCCAAGCTGGACAAGTGCCCGATGTGCCGCAGCGCCATCAGCAGCTACTTTAGCATCCGCAGCGAGGAGGAGCCCCGCGCCAACCTCAAGCCGCGCCTCGCGCTCAACCGCCGCCTCCTCGACCTCTTCCACTACCACTAGCGCCGCCGCCACCGCCCACCGCCCACCACCCACCACCACCACCTCCACCCTTGACTACAAGTGGTGGCCTACGAGTGACTCGGCGCTCCCTACAGATTGAAACCCGAACGTTGTAAGCGTTGGTTGTGATGCAGTCTTTAGACGGCAATTCTAGGCCGAAGTAACTTAATGGATTCTGAAGTATTTTTAAATCGATATTGTTCGAAATATTCAAACCTTTTAAAGTAATTTTTTTTTCATGAATAGCTGAATTATAGCCTGTGATATTTTCATTGGATTTATTTATAAAAGCCGTGTACAAAAAATGTAATTTCTTTAAAAGTATAGTGCAGTTGTTCCAACAAATTATAACAAATGAACACACGATACTTCTTTGAAATTTTAAAACGATTGTAAACAATGTCTAGTAAAGATAACCTTCGAATTAATTTATGCGTAGATTTCCTTCATTCAATCGTAGCGTGTAAACGAAATATGAACAACTTGCGATATAACGCGAGAATGTTATTTCTCCGGCGGATATCGAGCGCTAATTCTATTGCGAATTGTCGTTTGTTTCAAAATAAACGTAAGTCGGCCAACGATGTCACACCCCGCGGAGGGGGCGGACTGACCTCGAGAACTGCTCCGAAGGTGGAAGGTGGAAGGGATCCTTCCACCTTCGGAGGGAGAGCACCACCGGATCGGTTGGTGCAACGGACGAGTGGGTGCGAAGTACGGAACTGTGATAAAAGAAAAGCTTTGTGAATTCGCCCAATGTAAATATGTACTAGATTAGCTTAAGCCCCTAGTTGTTAATGTGCGGACGACTAGACCGGGTCGTATGTGGTAGTCGGAACGCGAGATGAATGCGACTTAGCGATTATGACCCCTATCGACATCGGTCGGTACAGCTTCCCCCCTAGGAGCCTTATAATTAAAGATGGCAACCGTCGGTAGCGAAGCTTATATTTTATTAACTATCAATCAATTTATACCTTTGACTAATTTCTAGTTAAAATGTAAAAACCAAAATCCGGAGCAGGTTCGGATCTTGGTAACGCTGAAAATATTATTGCAATTTACATACGAAACACATTTAAAGCTTCATGATGGGTGCAGACTTACATAAAAATAAAATAAGAAATTGTAATTTCTAGTCGCGGCGTGTTAGAGTAATTTGATAGTTAACAGACATCACAGTCGATATCTATCAAATTATTAAACTAAATCAGCGGACATGGGTTTTATTCTAAATAGGGAGGCAAGAATCAGGAGGGTGGCTTTTCTAAGTGTATCCATTTTATTAATTAAATTCTAGACATAAATAATTTTATATTTAAAATGATAAATATTTTAAATCACTCGTAATTAATTAATTACATTCATTTGAACTTATCTCAAATAGTGGGTGATTTATGGGCAACTCATTATTTTACGCGCGATCATTCATAACCAACACGCACACAAGTTCGTTTCAAAAGTATACGACGCATTTATGAATGACTACCGCATTGTCAACAAGTTCTGTTTTCTAGGGAATAGTTGTGCAATTTAAAAAAAAAAGTGTTTTTATTTCAATACATGATTATACTACCGAGTCTGAACCTCTTGTGTGAATTTGGACACCTTTAGAAAAGCCACCCTGTATAAATATACATAAAAATATATAGTAATACGCCTTCTGATGCTTTTTGCGGGGTGAAAAGATTAAAAAAAAAAGTATAATCCCTCCTGTAAGCTTCTCTAAAACGGCGGTTCATCTTTATTTAAGGTTGTCCAGGTGAGAAATGATCTTAAAAATAATTGTTTTTAACAGCGTGAATGCGATGGACGTATATTAGTCATTGAAATAATGTTAGTATATATCACCTAAGTATATCTGTAGATACATTAAAGATAGATACATACGGTAAGTTCAGTTTGTATGTAGCGTACCATGTAGTCTTCCAATTTAGAACCTTAACGTTACTACTTAGATCTCATTATTGCGATTGCGAAATATCATTTGTGCGTTATCCCCAACCGCTTCCTAGTATACTCATTAGAAATATCATTAAGGTCTATTATATCTCTTATAAATTATGGGAATGTAAATCATTTCATACGAGCTAAACTCTACGTAGATATAAGCAATATTTTCCATAATAAACATTGATTTTTTCTTTTAAGTAATAAGAATTTTCTATTATGATGACATTTTTCTCTTAACAGCTCTTATGGAACGATTCACATGTTGTTCTCGTACAGAATTTATTTATGTAATGATAACGAGGCGTTTAATTAGTAGTGATTTTCTAAATAAACTCAATATTTAAGTACTTTTTAATATTGACATCATTGCTCTATGCTAAGCATCGCGCAAGCCTTCGTAAAAGTGTAAAGTAAAGCAATAAGTAAGTAATAGATTTAGTAAATGTCAAGTGAAACCAATCTAAGCACACGAGTGTACCGTCCAGACTTCACAACAACCCACGTAGACCACGTAGCCATATGTTGGCGTACGGATGACGTATAATAGAAAGAATACCGGTTTTTTATATTTATAACTAAATCTCTAATAGTGTAGTCGGTGACTTTCAAGAAACACATTATAATTTTTTCTAAAATTTACTCTCAATAATATATTCACATTCATACGCATTTATAGTACTTCTAGATTTATCATCAATCTACAATGCTCATAATTATTTATAAAATAATGACCAATTACAGAAATTCATGGATGCCAGGAGCAGGTTGTGTAAAATAAGCAGCGTTCACAATACAATTATCGTGTGTTATTCAAATACAACAACTTCACACTAGTCAACTTTTTCTTGAAGACGCTGCAGTCTAAAACATTGTTATGGTCTAGAAGCACGAGTGGCAAGGCCTGCGCGACCGACAGATGTTATATTTTTGTCTAGGACTATTGTAACGAAGTTGTGAATAAATAATGTTGCCAAAGCACAAGGCTCGTTTTAATCCGACATTCAACACTTAACCTTTAAGAGTGCATTTTATTGGACTCATTTTGGAATCAACCAAATTTCCCTATTTTATTTTATCCTTTTTTCATAATAAGCACAATGGCGCTTACTGTAGGATAACATTATTCTTTATTGTAAGAACGTTTGCAAACATTGGACAAACACCCAGAACCGGAATGATTATCTGTGGGTCACACAAATAATTTTCCCGTGTAGGAATTCATGATTCCCGTCGTCGAAGCAATTATCCTTTGCAACTGCACCACATAGTCATTTCAAATAATTATATAACAAAAAAAAATTATAAGTAAAACTTAGATAATTTTGCACAAAATTTTAAGAATTTTTATAATGAAATAGATGATATACCTATGTTAATAAAAATGATAGATGTTCACTGAAGTTAAATTTTTCATTGAGGTAAACGTTTTAACACGAGGATAGTTGGCTACAAGACTGGACTTTCGGTTTATTACCTTTACAAGCGTGTCAAAATGTATAATGTTGGTTCAAATGGTATTATGTGGATTTAGTAGCCTAAAATGAGCCTATATTGAATAGAGGAATTTTAACTTTGAAAGCACTCTAAAATAAAAGAAACGAAGACTGTTAGCATCTGTTTTAATCTAAAGTACTCATCTACGTCAATCATCAAGTCCTCATCCTCATCTACATCAACAAGGCGACGTGACCTGTAAACTAGGAACGAGCGAGAGGACGGTATAATATGTACAGGTCGAGTTGTATGAAAGAATGAAAGTCCTAGGCAGCGTGGTGGTCCGCGCGGCGCTCCGCGTAGAGCTGCGAGCTCTTGACGGCCGAGTAGAGCGCGAAGAGCGCGTGCAGCGCCTGCACCTGGTGCGGCAGCTCGGGCCCCCGCAGCGGCACGTCGAGCAGCGCGCACACCAGCGCGCAGTAGTCGGGCAGCGAGCAGCGCAGCGCGGGCGGCGGGAAGCCCGCCGCCTCCAGCGCCTCCTCCACGCGCGCCGGCCACTCCTCCATCAGGCTGTCCACGTCCGGCGCCTCGCTGCCAACACGGGACGCGGATTCGTTATAAGGTGGCGACGCATCTGCAACCGGTGGCGGTGATTCTCACTTGACATCGGATGAACCGCCAGCTCGCTTGCCATCTTCCCTCATAAAAAACAACGATCCGCCACTGCCACTTCGCGCGTGGCCGTGGTACTTCCAGGGTGCAACAGAGAAGCTGGGTCTGTGTGCTTATGCCTAGTGTGGGGCCCACCCGTGGTGGCGGTGCGCGTGTCGCGGAGCGGCCGCGTGCAGCTCGGCCACGTCCCGCACCCAGCGCTCGATCGCCTTCGGGTTCTTCTCCGCCTCCTCGATTTTCCTCGTCAGCTGCATACACGATCGAACAATACAAACAAATACATACAACACTGCCGAATTAAAATAATAGCCTATACATGTCGCACTGCTGGGTAAAAGCCTCATCTATATAGAGGTTATCAAAGCATAGTCCACCGCACGGCCCCACTGCGGATTGGCGGACTTCACATATCTTCGAAAAATATTTTTTTTGTTAATATTTCGAAAATATGCAGGTTTCCTCACGATGTTTTCCTTCACCGCGGAGCACGTGATAATTCAGCACTTAAAGTTAAAAAATTCATTGGTGCCGGCACCGGGGATCGAACTCAGGTTGCTCGAGTATATTGAATTAAAGGCGAGCGCCCGGACTCTAAACTATCACGGCTAGTAACAAATGATGAACAGAATGACCTCACTCTAGTGGTATGCATGAAGAATTTTCCGTTTCCACTCGTAAGTAATGCTTTCCATACGTTTTTTTATTTATTTATAACTGTATAATGGACACAGCGATCAGATCGACCAAGACGAAGACCGATTCGAAATCAGTTAAAGAGCTCAGAGGCCCTGAACATTTACCGTTGTCTTTCCGCCTGCCGTCTTGGAGATGGCGCGGAGTTGCAGGTGCAGGAGTGCAGGGTCGCTTTGCTCTGCGGCTGGCTCGTCCAGGATCGTCAGACCTGCAGAAAATACAACACTTCACGCTACAAGAACATTTCGTTTGCTCCCGATATTTTCCTTTCCCACAGCAATTAAGATCGTAAATATTTAAAAATGGTTCCGGCATCGAGAAATGAACTCATGAGTATATTGAATTAAAAACGAGAGCCCGAACATTGGGCTAACACGAATAAGATGACAGTCGATTGGAAAAACAACACCTGGTTAAAGCAGCTTTATATAGAACTTCTAATGACCCTGAGGTATTGAGACTGTAGCTGTCTCGTGCACGGCAATTAAAAGCGGTTTCTGATTTTCCGGAGGATCATGACAGTGGACGTCGAGTCTCGAAGGTTAGGGAACGTGGCACTAGTCAGAGTGGGCGCACCGAGATCGTCGACGTGCTTCAGCAGCCGTTCGGAGAGCGGCGCCTCGGCTGGCTGGGCGGGCAGGGCGGGCGGCGTGCTCAGCTTGAGCAGCGCGTCGCAGTCGCCCACCGCGGGCGCGCACTCCGGCACGAACGGCCGCAGCCGCGCCTCCACCTCCATCTTCTGCGGACTGTACCTACGCGCGCCCCAACACGAATCGTACTCGTCGGGAGTTTGACAGATGTGGTGACAATTGACATTTTAACTGTGTTAGGGCCACGAATGGGCTGGTCCGTCCGGGTAAGTAACGCGACCTCACTGAAGACCGGCGTGAAGTGGAAGTTTTATACTTATGCGTTTCTTCTGGTGAGTGATGTAGCCGGCACCCACTTTGTTAAAAAAAGGTGACACCGACACTGGTGTTACAAATGTCAAGGGGCCGCGGTTATCACTTAACAACATGTGTTGTTAAGTGTTACCTGGCAGTTCAGCCAGCTCGTTTGGCGCCCTTTCAAATAAAGCCGCTATGATTCCGTGACCACGTTGCGAAGCTTCGGGAATCGTGGTTTCGATTAGTCTTTGTGTGTTCCACAGATAATTGTTTCTGACCTGGGTGACGGGCAGGCGACTGGTTATAAAAAACATAGCCTAAACCACTTACAAAATAATTCCATGTGAATCATTTTGATCATGATGTAACCACCCCACCTTGATGGGATAAGGGTAGAAGGATGATGATGACGATAAAAGCCATTATGGCCTATAGACTTTTAAAGTAATGCACATTCGATCACTGAACACTAGCATTATAGCTTAGGGAGTGTCGTCAATGAGGTCGACGTTTGTGGTTTAATGTTTTAGGTGATTTTGTTAATTTAACCTTTTGAATCGTAAAGCAACGAATCCAGACGACATTACGACAAAAGTAATAAATGCCTACTCGACGACGCAGTTAACGCTATGCGACGAGATATGATTGGGTTTGAAATATTTTTTTTATTATTTCAAAAATATGCAGGTTTCCTCACGATATTTTCCTTCGCCGCTGAGCACGTGATATGTCAGCACTTAAGACATGTTGATAAGAGGAATATATTTCCGTTGCAGTATACAGTTGCTAGACAACACAACGCTACACTAGGAACACGGAAAAAAAGGCGAACAACGATAATTACATTATAATGTTGTGTATTTACTCCTTATCTTTGACATTATTCGATGCTATGACGGTGAACTCTGAAGAAGTACAATGACCCAGCTATGATGCCCGTATAAAAACTATGCAGGAATAAACAGAAGAATGAACACAATGAATAATGCAATAATATAATAAGTGGCGGCTGATCTGTTTTGACGGGCGTTGGGCGCCCACGCGCGCTCAGCCCACCGCCGCCCGCACCGGAATTAGGTCCGCGGACGGCACGCCTAAATTGCACCTTATGCTAAAAGCTTCAGAGTTGAAAATCGATAATACTGATCGCGATATAAATCAATGAAACGTCCGCGTTACAACAAATTAAATAGCGCCAATGTTTAGCGATAAAACTCCAAAGTTCTTGCTGTATCTGTGCCCCGGCTATACCGACGACGAATTGAGACTAAATTACATTTTTGGTTTCGTTTTGAAAGGCTTGATCTATGCTGCCCTTCGCTGACCTTATGGTAGGTATCTACGGCTATGGCTAAACGTAATGTAAGATATTGAATTTATAAAGAGTAATATTCGCCCTAAAGCCATATGTACCTATGTTATGTTATACACCTAACGCGGAATAAAATACACTGCAACACAAATAAAATACGCTGCAACTGGGCCGCCGTTTCTACTGTCCTAATATGGAGATAAAAACAAGAGACTTTAATCAAAACGTAGCGGTTACAACTAAAATTGCAATATGAAGGAACCCACTTCATGATGTACTGGAACAGGTTCTCGATGTCGGGCGGCACCTTGAGGTCCCTGAACTGCTCAGGGTCGTAGGCGCCGTCGGCCGGGAGCACCGCGCCGCGCCTCCGCCCGCCACCGCCGCCGCCCACCACCACCTCACGCTTTCCCGGCTCCTCGCCGCTGTCAGACTCTGCAAGGTGTAGAACGTTGGCTAACTTCGTCTGATAAGAGAAAAGAACTTGTTGCTGTTACATGTGCTTGCTGGTTAGTGATTAAGGTCGCCATCTGCAACACCACAGGAGTTGGCAAGAGCTTCTCTGCCCTAAAAATAGCGGGCCTCCCGCTACTTTGGCCACTGGACAATACACAGTATTATAAAATAAACTATATCTATAATATAGTTTATTTTATAATACTGTATATATAATAATCGCCGATTTCCCCGAAGAATAATTGACACCTTTCAGAGTATATGGTGATACCTCCTATGCAATAACTTCTAACAAACCTTTAAATTGTAATCTAGTAACTTCTATCGTTCTTTTTAACGAAATATTGCCCTTATAAAACACAAAGTAAATACATAAAAACTTTTCAATAAACACGTTAAAATAAACGTGAATCATGATTTCACTTCTCGGCAAAAGTGATCAAAATAAAATTTATTACAACAACATTGAATTCAATAGTACTATTATTGTAAATGCGAAAGTTTGTGTACAATGTACAAGTCTGGTCGCTCACTCCGTACCAGCTGAATAGGTTTGAAAAAAACTTTGTAACCGGGATAACATACTTATATGCTGAAATGATAGTTTTGATCCGTAATTGTACCTTTTACGAAAAAATAAAATCGTAAAATTTTAACTAAAATGAAACATTAAATCAGCGATTACGCTGGGAAACAAACACCATATCTTGATGTCCTCAGTTACAGCAGCACACGGTGCGTGTCCGTCACGCAAGATCGAACCACGTTGAATACGCTGCTGATTAAGGGGACATTTTCGCTAAGCAATCGCTAATGAGCGCTGCATCTAGGCTCGGCTTAATGCATCAGATATTTCAGCAAACGAGCGCCCACGCTCTCACAAAATACCAGCATGAGATTACGTCCGTATGTGAACTGGAGATAAGATTGTTTGTAAAGATGGAACTTAAACAATGCACTTGACGAACGATAACCAAAGTGAATGTGAAACGCACTTTCGTTGGTCTATTCGCGGCGGTCAGGCGCGTTTTAAATTAGACTGAATGCATCGCATACTTTAGACTAGGCTTAAAACAACATACAGAGATGGATTTTATATATAATCTTAGCGATAAGCTTTATTACAACTCAATAAAAAATAGATTAATTATTTACTTAAACTACAACTTGCTTGGCCCGGTTTCATAAAGGTAGTCAAATTTATTTGGAAAATAAATATTTAATAAAACAAGTTGGCAATAATCACAATGTTTTATGATATAGCGGATCCCGACCTCGATTCATGTGTCCATCAGAAAGATGTTCCATCTTTCTGATGGACACATGAATCGAGGTCGGTAAAAAGATGGGACTTTCGGTAAAAAAATAATGACTATCAATAGATGAAATTTAGGTTTCTTATGTCGATGATTTGGATAAATGATTTTGAGCTCAACGAATTCATATTTGTAATGAAAAGGATAATTTACTAATAGGCAACTAATCGTAATAGGTTCTGTATACTGTGTGACGCATCTTAACGTATGACGTCTTACTCTATAAATGGAGAAGTTTTCGCGTATGACCTTGAGTGCCTTATACCAACTGCATACATGACAAGGCCTACATCATATAGTCAAAGACGACCCAAATTCCGGCATCATATAGTCAAAGATGACCCAAATTGATTTCGGCAAATGTGCCGTTAATTTTTATTAAACTAACGGCGACACACAAAGACAATCATAAGCACTCAAATATCTTTTTTTTATATAAAACATTTCCCTCACTTTAGGATAACATTATCCTGTGTTATAAGGATGTATTACAAACATAAATTGCACGAGAACAAACACCCAGATGCGACAACTAATCTGTGGGTCACCCAAATAGTTGTCCCGTATGGGAATGGAACTCACGATCCCCGACGCCGAAGCCAATACATTGGCATCTGTGCCACGGAGTCATCAATTAAATAAAAAGTCAGTAAATCTTATTTTTTTTTACCATAAAACTTCGCACGTTTCGATTGCACTCTGTGATTATTTATTTATATTAAATATATATTAAATTATATATATAAATTATATATATTAAATTACATACTAATATTACGATCGATACACAAGTAATGGCGAAAATGAAGAAATATATCGATATTTATAAAAATATCAATATCCGCCTCGATATATCGAAGAAAAAACGGATTAACGGAATATACGGATATTTTCTTTTTGGGCCCTATTGTCGAAAGAAAAAACGTATACCAAAAATTAAATATTGGGATGTACGGACTCTGTCCCGGATTCGATTTGGAAAAAATATCGTTTTTGATGCGATATTGAATATTTTTATGATATATCGATTTTTTCGGCATCTCTAAGATACACAGACGTTTCAAAAACTTACGTTATTGTTGTGATGTGAAAAATTTAAGATAAAAAATTAGATGGACTGCGATAGAGCCTGAATGGTGCAAGTATCAGCCAGTGTTGGAGTGGAAATGCAGTGCGTACCGGAGGTGGAGGTGTCAGGGCGTTGGCTCTGGCGGGCCCTGGCGCCGCTGCCCCTGCTGGCGGGGGCGGGCTCCTTCTCCGGCGACTTGGGCCTCCTATGCGGCGACTGGAATAAAATCAAGTCCAAAATCGTCATCATCTTATATGTTGGATTAATTTATCTAATAATTTGTTTTCCAAAGTATTTTTCTATAAAAACGGCAAAAAAAATCATGTCTGTTGTATGGGAGCCCCACTTCAATATGTTTTTATTCTGTTTTTTAGTATTTGTTGTTATATCAGCAACAGAAATACATCATCTGTCTAGATTTCAACTGTCTAGCTTTCACGATTCATAAAATGCAGCCTGGTGACAGACGGAGAGAGAAACAAACAGCGGAGTTTTAGCAATAGGGTCCCGTTTAACCCTTTGGGTACGGAACCCTAAAAAACGAATCAGATGGCGCAGAAATGTAATGATTGGACCTCGCCACCGTTGTAGCGAGCGCAATTATGAGCGCGTCTGAGTGATATACGGGGGCGGCGGCGCCACGCATGTCAAAGGCATGACAATATACCGGCCGCTATTTCGGGACGAACGCCTCAACGACATCCTCCCGCGGACCGTTTCACGTAAGGACATAAAAATGATCTTCATGGTCGTGCGCGGGAAAGTTCCCGTTTCGATCGGTGTTATGACCGCCATAAATTATTCCGAGGCACGCCGCGCATCCTAATAGACTGGAGCTTCCCATCAAACGCATATCAGGCTGGATTCCTCTATAGAATAAAGTGTTAGGAACTGGGTGAAACGATGTTGGTCATAACGTTTTCCAGAGCTCGCTAAATTCCAGCTGATGTGCATAAACTTCTCTTCATTTATTTATATAATATATGCATGTATAACGATATTCACTTTGAATAACAGCAATGTGCACAACTATGAAGAAAATAAACTAGGTATTCGAACTTTAATTCCGAAAGTTGTCAAGGATCTAATCGGTAGTCGGGTCGGGAGTGGGAAGTATCGTCCTAGAACGCGGATGTTTCGATTGCACAGAATAGCGGCCAGCATTTGATTTATTTAATTTCGATACATAATTCGCAGACCGCAGTGAACGAATAAAACATATATTCGTTCACGGGGTGACCGTATACAGAGTTTAAAAATTCCGTCACACGCCCAACCATTTCGTCAACATGACAAACGCTGGTGCAGAAAAACTTTGTTTCTTGTGAAAGCATTTACCAGTTATAAGTGAAACCGCATCAACTGTATTTTTACGATTCCCTATCTTATTTATTACGAGTATGTACGGTGGTTTTTGGCTGCAGTTGAAATTTCGAGTGATGATAGACCAATTTCATAAAAAAAATGTTAACCTTTCTTACAGCAATAAAGATGGATGTTGGGGTAAAACTAACAAACTCTTACTGTTGCTTTGCGGTTTCTTCGCCTTCCGTTGCAGGACTACGCCCGTTACGAGGTTCAAACAAGAAAATAAACATAAAACGCATCTGATGCATCCCAGACCGTACCGAATCTTAACGAAAACATAAGCACGTGCCAGCCGCTTCGTTTACCGGCCTCGATGGGCGCGTCGGAATGGATCCCTATATCAAAGTAGCGAACATTCTTCAGTCTTTGGTAATTATAATAGATGGTCGACGATCCACGCACAATGATTTATGTAGCATACAATCTGTCTGTATCTTTAAACGGGAATAGCTGAATTCACGAAAAATGCCGCCGCCCGTCTTTAAATAGCGATTGCATCAATTGCGTCTTATTTCTAAACAGGCACCGTGATGCGAACACGCCACAGGCGATTTATTGAAACAATGTACACGTTTTTAGTCGCAATAGTTTGCGATCGTCGCAATTACTTTATTATATTTTTATTGTTTTTACTATTTGTTGTTATAGCGGAAACAGAAATGAAAACTGTCTAACTATCACGGTTCGTGAGATACAGCCTGGTTTTTTTTATTACTGTTTTGCCCTAATGATTTTGATCATTATCCTAACCTAATGGATTAAAGTTATATGCAATTATGAAAGCAAAATGAAAACAAGACAAAAGATATTACGCTATTGGACACTTGAATGCTATTAAAATACTGCTATGTCCATACACCTGGCGCCGCTTGTTAAATACAAAGTGTTGTACATATAAAGAGGATATTTGAGGAGTATGATGTATAGGGCATTCCTAATTATAAGCTGCTCACTTTTTTATCGTAGTAGTCTATTCCAGGGAGTACATTTGCAATGGCGGATATGTAAAAGTAAAATGATACCATTAGACCTGACCACGACTTCTTTAGCAGACGAACACGTATTTAAGTCTTTTTTTTTTTATTTCCTTTTCCAATTCCTCTCCTATTCCGATTATCTATGGGATCAGTAATCAAATACTATCAGGTTGGCCGCTTGCTTCCTTTTCCATAACAATTATAATTTTTAACAAAAAAACCGACTTCAAACCGGAAACTAAAAAACATTGTTAATACTTATAACATTTGCGGATTGCGCTCGATTTCTCTGGGATGCAATCATCAGATCTGGGTTTTCTTATCGTGGTACCACCCTTGGGATATCTCCTTTCCAACAAAAAAGAATCATCAAAGTCGGTTAATGAACGACGAAGTTATCCACGAACACACAAAAAAAATATTTACGGTCGAATTGAGAACCTGCTTCTTTTTTGAAGTCGGTTAAAAATAGGCCAAATGATGTTTATGATACTGTTTTATAATACGATTGGTGTGCGGAAGGCCGGTGCCGTCGCTGCGCGCGGGCCGCGAAGGAAGCTGGCCCCGGTGAAAGTAACAGAGCAGCCCGAATGCGCTTCAGTTGCTGTGTCGCCTTACGATATCGCTCGCAATGCTCAGGCGGACGACAATAACATTACACACAAATATTCATGAACGCAATAGGGTCAGGCCAACGCTAAATAAATTATGTGCGTTATTTGACGCAACAATACAAGAAAAATCCGAAACGCACTGAAATAGCAAAGTATGTAAACATCAGTCAATTCTAGAGTTAATTCCCTTACAAGTTCTTGTAAGGCAAAATAAATTTACATGTTTGGCTGCATGTTCACCCTAAGAAGCATCCAAAACCTCGTCCATTCAGATTCAAGGAATTTGTAATTTAAATTAAAAATAAATAAATAAAACAACATAAACACTTGAGTCCGGCACCCTAAGGTATATTGGACAGTTTACAGGATATATGTATGTATGACTTGCTATTTAAGCCATCCACTACCCGGAGGACCGGAGGTTTGTTTTTTTTTTTTTTGGTAAATCGTGTGTTTTGGAAATTACATTTAGATACAAATTACTGAGTAATGAAATATGCATAATATTTTTCGATCTTACCGACGTAATAATATGAACTGATGTTTATCACAAAAGAAAGAAATTAAAAAAAAAGGGAAAAAAAACAAAATTATCAAATTAAAAATAAAGAAAACAATGATCTGGAATGGAAAAAAAAGTAAAAAAATAAATGTGTAAATGATCGTGACACGAACCACCGCAGTCTGTTTTGGGGCCGCCCGATTACCGACCGAGCTATTATAACATTTTATTTTGCGGCGAAATTTACTGTCATATTCGAATGATATTTTTCATTCCCTGAAAACAGGGATAAAAGGACATTTTCTAAAAATGAAACCTAGCTAGATCGATTTTTTACCCTCGAATCTACGCACATACAAAATTTCATGAAAATCGCTGGAGCCGATTCCGAGATTCCGATGATACTTTCACAAAATATCACGTTTTTGATATGTCGTCCACAATTAGTGAGCTTGTGTAAAGTGATTTATAGAAAAACTTCATTAAAAAAACCTACCTGTTCCTCCTCGGACGCGTTCGCCGTGAACTTTTCTGGGCTCGAGTCGCTGTCGCTGTCCGAGCCGAAGTCGTGCCTGGCCGTGTGCCGCGCCGGGGGCTGGAACTTGCTCATAGCGGCCCTCAACGCCTCGTCCTCTGATCCCGGAGAGCTGTCCACTTCCCTGCCCTCCACCGCCACGCTCTCGTCGAACATAACACAAAGCCGCGGGCTCGCCTGCTTGCGACTGACGCACGGTGTCTGACAGTGTTTGTCACTGGTCGCCATGGCTACGCGGACGAGGCGACACGACACCGCCACACGACGCCACCGCTCAAAAGCCCGACCCGTCCGCTAATTTACTGGGAACAACAGTCCCGATTCCCTGGCACAGCTTGGCACTACCCACCACACGTGTGGATGTGTGAGATCGGTATCGACAAATTCACATTTATTCACGTATTCACACTTCCATTAAATAGCTAAACTCAAAACTCGCTGCAATAACCCGTCACGCTATTTTACAAACACCGCCTAAAATTATCGAGGATAAGCTTAGAGCTTCTTCGTATCTTTAGATCTATTTAAGGATAGGTGTTTACGTTTCCTCAAAAATGGAGCGCAGGAAACAGGGATTTCCGCGTTCAGTTTTAGGTTTTAGCAAAATGGATAAACGCTGCCGCCTATTACGAGAAAATGTAACAAGCAAATTTTATAACGTTCGAATTATAACCTAAACGTACAGAAAATGTGTAACTCATGTAAATGTAAAATTCCCTTCATCCATATTTAACGAAACTTAAATGGTGTACAGTTAACATTTGGGCTATGCTATGGTGAAAGAGCCGTGATAGCTCAGTGTCCGGGCGCTCGCCTTAATTCAATATACTCGAGCAACCTGAGTTCGATCCCCGGTGCCGGCACCAATGAAGTTTTTAACTTTAAGTGCTGACTTATCACGTGCTCCGCGGTGAAGGAAAACATCGTGAGGAAACCTGCATATTTTCGAAATAATAACAAAAAAAAATATTTTTTGAAGATATGTGAAGTCCGCCAATCCGCAGTGGGGCCGCGTGGTGGACTATGGCCTGATACCCTCTGTACAGAGGAGGCCTTTGCCCAGCAGTGGGACATGTATAGGCTGTTACTTTACTTTTTTTTTTTTATGGTGAAAGAAGCCAATATTTATGTACTTGAAAAAAAAAAAAACAAATAGGCTTTCAATTTAAATAATTAAAAAAAAAAAGAAAGCACGATAGGACCTTTTATTTTTATAATCCACCAGCGGGTAGCGGCTTCACGCGGGTAGCACTAAGAAGTATCCAAAAAAAATGTGTTGATCTGATCGCTACAATTTACAACAACACCCGCTGGGCTAATTGGAGTCCATAAGGAACATACATACACTCATCGATTTTATGTGTAAATTTATAGCTACCTATTTAAATACCTACTAAATAGATTACCATGATCAATATTTAAAAGCATGGCGTAATTAGATCTAGTTCCATGTAATTAAGTTAACACAATTCAAACTTCAACTGAAATAATGTTCTTTAAAATAAAGGTTATAGTATAAGTAATAAAGATGAAGTGAGACAACACTGGCAGATACGTGGATAATAAAAAATCTGCTCGTCCTAACTTGCTCAGCAAAACTTTTTATGTTAATAAGTGGTAAGCAAAGCACATATCTTTATCACACCAGATCTTCATGTTAACTCAAAGAATGAAGAAAGAAATATTGTTATGGACTTTCCTAAAAATATAAACATTCTTTGAAATAAATTTAATATAAAATTAGACTTGCTCTTGCGAACTCTATTATATGTTAATAAAAAAAACATTTAGCTTTCAATCAAAAATAAGTTTATTAACGACCATAACATATCGAGCGGCGCGCTATACAATAATAATGATACAACAACTCACGATAACAGAACAGACGTATTGCCATAAAACCTGTCGTTAGTAACATGTGGTTGAAGTGCATAATAATTGTGGTTCAAGTCAAACATCTGACAATTAATTACTTAGACAATATAATAATATGAATTTGCGTTAATTTTTTAAATCTTGTATTGAGATATCTACTCAAGCATTTGTAATAACTGTCGTGTAACAATATTAGTAAAATATACGTATTTAGGAAAATTCATTACAAAAATATAAACTCGGCATACAATGTTCCAAAAATATTCTAAATAGCTTAAAAATAAATTTACTGATTCAAACTATAATTCAAATATCCTATAATGTCGCAAACTTGTTAATTCAATGGGTAATATACAGTTTTATTATGACCTGCATAACGTTAGTAATTAATAGTGTAAACTGAATCGGATACAAATCACAAAATTAAGTGTTTGGGAACATCTATATAACTGACAGATTGATATTTTTTTATATAGCATATTTCATCTTCTTTCTTTCTTTATGGTTTCTCTTTAAAGAATTCTGCCTATGTCAGGTCAGTCATGGGACAAACAAACATTCAACATTCTTGTCAAAACGTACAATAAGAAAAAATATTTATAAACAATTTTACCAAGGATGTCAAAAGTAAGGAAAATGTCTATAAAATATAAATACATAATAATTTGACTTCTCGTAATCGGGTTTTGAATTAAAAAAATTTTTACACTAAAAACCAAAACTTACGTTATTTAAATATTCAATTAATGTACTATAATTAGGTCCTAGTGATTAATTTAATTTATGTTCATTCACTGCAGTTTCAAGTACGTGAAATTAAAAATCTTACAAAATTAACAACAATTAAAAACTTGACAAGATTAGGTCAAACTATAAATGTAACACGATACGAATAGCAATCATTTGAGTTTCCATTCAGAATTTGAGACGACGAATAACTGTTTGATTATATTATACATAATACAGTCTTTCGAGTGAAATCTAATATTGGCACATACTGCGGGAGGTTATACTTAGTACAACTTATCTTATGATAAGCGTAAAAGTAAATAGGCCAGGACAGTTCACAGTGATTTCTGTACACTGTATGTTGATTAAACTGGTTCAGCCGACCTTGTTGATGAGTTCGTCGCATATAGCCGTCAACTCTTCGTTAGCCTTTGTCTTTTGGGCCAGAGTTTCCTCGAGGGACGTAATATGCAGCTCCTTTCTCTTTATCATTGCGTTTAACTTCAGAACTTCCGCTTCGTGAGCTCTATTCAATCTCTCCAGCTCTTGATTCGCGTGATTTAACTTAGTCGTCGCGTGTTGTTTTAATAGTTCGTAGTTTTTTTGCATCTTTAGCAAACTTTCTTCAAACTCTTTAATCGATCTTCTGTATGTATCTTCGTTCGCTTTGCAGGTGAGAATAATTTGTTTGCTCTTTTCATACTTGCTGTGGAGGTCATTGAAGGAGATCTCCATGCTCGATAGATGCGCAGTCTGTTCATCTCTTTCGTTGATCAATCTCATGCGTTCTTCCGCATGCCGTTTCTTATCCTGTACTGTTTCTGCAATCAAACTAGCGATCGTTCTCTCATATTCTTCTACAACCGCAGCCATGCTTTTATTAATGTTTGTTTTCTCAACAAGACGCTCATTTAATTCGTTGACTTTTCTCAATCTTTGCTCACCTTCTGATTCTAAGCTTTTAACTTGATTTTCTAATATAGACAATCTTTCTTTCAACTCCTTACTCTCTAGTCTTAAATTGTGCACATGTATTTCCTTTTCAGCCAACAATTCTCTAAGCTGTGTCAAGGCCAGATCTGTTTCATTGTGTTCCCTTCGAACTTGTTGGGGTGTGGCCTCGTGGTTTAATGTAGAATTGTTTCCACTTAGGGAGAGAAGTCGATCAATAACAGCTATGGCTGGGGATGCGAATGTGAGTGAGCGTCGGTTTACTCTAGGAGGAGTGGCAACGGACTTGTTTCTCGGAGATATTATTGAGTTAATCGCTGGATTTACAACCATCATTGGTTTAGAAATTGTAGTATTAGGATCTTCAAAGTTGTTCTCCAATGTGTTATTTACTTCTGTAGTAGAATTTAAAGCTCCTGTCGACATTTTATCAGAATAAGGAACATCGATTGTAGGAGCTTTTGAAATTCTTTTAGGAGTGCTCTGTCTTTTTTGAACTTTACTGAAAGCCGCTAAAACACCATCAGATGACATCCTTTTAGCAAAAAGTGGGTCGAACTTCAAAAATAAGCTTTCCTTTCCACTATCTACGACCACATTACTTTTATTTTGATTCAACAGGAACTCAAAAGCTTCAGCGTCGATAAACATTTCATCATTATTAACATTGTCATCAGCTCTTTGAGCTAGAACGTCATTAAAATTCAGCATATTCTCAGTATCTTCAACATGATCAGACGTTTTATCATCGTCATTCAAATCATCAGCTTCAAAGAAAGGACCTTCTACAGTATCTTCATCCTCGGTGTTTACTTCGCGAATTGTTGCATCTTCCGTGGCTTTTGATGAGGAGCTTGCAATGGAGGATTCGTGGTCAGCAATATTACCATAATATAATTTTCCTACATCCTCCGCTGTCTTACCGTCGGAATTTGTAGAATTAACTGATTGTGATTCTTTAAAATCAATCTTATTTTCAAAGACTTCCAGTGGCGGTGACGAAGATCGACATAATTTTGATTTCGTGACAAACGGATTGAAACTTATATCTGTGGACATTTCTGGAAGATTAAAAACATTCTTAGGTTCAAATTTTTCTACTGGACGCATGTCCTGATCGCTAGCATTTGACCTAATTTCAACTCCATCTGAGAGAATATCGATTAGCTTATGTTGAACTTCTGCCATAGTAATATTTTCACTACTTGGCAATTTTATATCTTTGGCATTTTCCTCAGTGTGACAAGGATCTGGTTCCATGGTTTTAACTAATGCTTCCTTTTGTACTAAATTAGAAGGATAAACATGATCTGGATTCTCTATAACCTGAAAATCATTACTTTTCGTATTAACAACCACGCTGTCTTTATCTACAATTGCCCGCCATGTCTTCTGTTGTTTTTGTATGTTTTATTATTTCTTTATAATTCACAGCATCACTTAACGTGGAGTTTAATTTATTTTTAGTTGATGCTTGTCGCATTTGCTCAGGCAGCGATTTTCGACTTAGAATTTTATTTTTATTGTTTCCAGATTTTATTCTATTAACGTCTTTGTCGTGTGACCCGGGAGTATATTCCGGCGGCGGCGATAATCTAACTTTAGTTTTTGTCGCAAATGGGTCGTCCATTTCGTCAAAATTAAAATTATATCCCTTAGATGAAATTATTGGTGACAAAGGAGGTGATACTTGGGATTTAATTTCCATCGCTAAAATTTCACCTACAGCTTTACTTCTTTCCAAATTTTCGTCTACGTTTTCTGATTTCACATTATCATTGAATTTTGCGGAACCGATCTCTAAATTGTTCGACGACGTGTCAATTATTTCTCTTACTTGTATAGTTTCATTGTTTTTAATTTCATAGTCCACTCCTTTAGAACAATTTGCAACTGTACTCATATTATCATTATCGATTTTTTTCTTTATTATATCATTCACAGACGTAAGATTTAAATCAGTCATGTCATTATCTGAATTATTTTGAGTCGATGAGTGTGGTAAAATTATTGTTTTAATATTATTTTCCGATTTAGATGAATCGGGAATGCATACGGTTTGATCATCTTTAATAAAAGTCTTGTGATTAGGAGTATTATTTTCCTCTTTCTCAATATCACAGTTTTCGATAGTAGCAGAATTAGTGGCATCTAAAGTGACACAATGGTCGAATTCAGAGTTAAAAACGATCACATTTGCCTTATTAAACATTAAGTCACTACTTTCACTACAAATTAGATTATTCGGGTTATTGATCTCAAGTGTTTCATTATGTTTTTCACTAACATAAGTACCCATGATATGTGTTCCATGGTCAATTTCTCTTGGCTTTTCTTCAATTTCTATATTTTCAATTTCATCTTCGTGACCTATGTTTTTATTAAACGGTAGATTCGTCGTTGAGTGGTTTATATTTATATTACTACTACTTATATCACGTTCTATTTTTTTACTGATAGAATTTTCTTCTTTTGTATTAATGACTTCACTTATTTGCTTCGTTTCTTCATTCTCTTGTTTCTTTATACATACTTTTTCATTGTTGTCGAGATCGAACATGTTCATGTGTACTGTGTTAATTCCAATACTATTTATTGTATCACAAGTTATTTCGAAATTTGATGGAGTGAGATTTGATGAGTGTGAAATTTGTAATTTCTTTTCCATTTCATGAGATTCTACAAGTGTTCCAGATATGTCCTTATTTAGCTCGGAAAAGTCATTTTCCTTTTCTATAAAATCATTATTTTTTGTCGTACCAATTGTAAGGTTTTTAGGCTGAATCATAGTATTCGTATGGTGTTCCGTTACTGCTTTACTAAAATCTTCAGATAAATTAACATGCAATGTATCACTTGCTTCGCCGTCTATTGTCTTTTCTTTAATAAAATCAGATGAGAATTCGTCGTTTTGTGAATAACTTATACATTTAACATTTTCCAATATTTCGGAACTTTTGTTTTCGGAAACAGACGTAGTTTTACGTGCTTCTTCCAGACTTTCAATGTTCGCAATGCTAGTATTATTAATCATTGCATTTTCTTTTGAATATTCTGTTATAATTGACTTATCATAATTTTCAATTGCTGATATGTTGTCATTTTCGTTATCAGTTATGTCACCATCATTCTTCAATATATCGGCAATAGTACCAATATCCACTTGATTCTCATGATTTAATTGTAAAGAATCTATTGTTGTTTGGGCATAAAGTTTTTCTGTGCTTCGTGTTACACTATATGTTTTTCCAGTGGCTATTTCTTTAATTTGCGTGCTTAATTCCACTTCCTGTTTTTCATATTCAGTTGATTGTAATAGTGGTACACTCTCCTTAGCATTTATACTACCTTTATTATTAATAAAACCAACAATATTTGCATTAACATTGTCTTCTTTCTTTACACTTTCATTTAATAATTCTATTTTTCCATCACCTTTTTCTATGCAATCAATGTTTAATTCTTTTATTTCCTCATTCATACTTTGAGAATAATACTCTTTAATAATAGGCACTTCATTATTATCAATGCTCATATTGATTTCGTTTTCAGGTGTTACATTGAATTCTTGCTGGTCCACAGTACACATTGCTTCATAATTAATGATTATATTTTGATGAACTGAGTTAGAAATATTTGATGGATTAATGTTTTCTAAATTTAATATATGTTCCATATCATCTTCATCAGGTAAAGGAATATCAGTAGGAAGTTTTAAATCTTTTGTTTCCTCACCTCTGATATAATTTTGTGTAGCACCATCTTCACATAGATTTATATTGGTAGAAAGAATATTATCTAGACTGTTTTTATCTTTTAGATCTATTTCTTTAAATTGTGTTGTGCTATAAACATTGCAATTCTCTTCAATGTTATGAATTATCACTTCATTATTGTTATCTCTTAGTGATGCTACAGCATCATTTGGTATAATTCCTAGACTCTTATCAACCACTTGCCTATCCTCAATATTGAACTCTTTATTATGAACAACCGAGATTTCATTTTTACCACAATTACTTTTTAAATCAAAATTTTCAAGAATATTTGATTGATTACTGTTTGGTGATTGTTCGATGTTAACGTCTAAAATATTATGTTGCTGAAATACAATATTCTGATTGTTCGCGCACAAATTTAAGTTTTCTGTTATTTTGTTATCACTCATGTCATTATTTATAGTAGTTTCACAATCAACAAACTCACCATCGGACTCAATCATCAATGGTTCAATTGTCTTACCTTGACAAGCTGTTTGGACAGGCTCAGTTCCTTCTATATCCAAAAATGAATCATTGTTTGAAGTGTCTATATGCTCAATAGAAATATCGAAATTTTCTTTCTCCATTTTTAAAGACATTGAATCATTCCTAGCTGACTTTGATATGCATGAAACAGATTGTGGTAGAAGCAATTTATGTATTGGTATCTTTTCTTCTTTGAATAAAATTGTTGTTTCATCTTTCCATTGTAATTCTCTTTCAAGATCATCATTGAAAACAATACTTTCCTTAAGAGGACTGCTTCTCTGAGACCCACTAACTTCTCTTCGTTTATTTGAAACCGGTGTTGATGCCATGGCAAGTTGAGACTGAGACCCATCATCATTTAAAGCTGGCTCATTAGGACTAAGAATCTCTTGTTTGATATTGCTATTAACTTCTGCATGTGGTATAGGGCTCTGGGAAGACCGAAACATATTGAGAACACTTTTAAGACCTCTCATTATGGGAGAACCACCATCATGCTTTGGTATTTCCTTTGTTGGAGTTGTTGCTTCTGGTGTTTGTGCAACTGAAGATGATGTACTTGGCAGTGACATATTGTCATCAATATAATTTTGCCCACTCAATGTAATAGTTACATTGTTATCTTCCGTTTCAGCTGAATGATCTATTTTTCGAAGTACAGAAGCACTTCTATTCTCAGTAACTAATTCAGTAGAAAGTGCCTGTAAAGGGAGTGACTTGAGCGATTTTGCTGTATCATTTCTTGAGATTGTGGAATTTAAAGAGCGAGTAAGATTACAGTTTTCATTGATAATAACATTATTTATATACTCCTCGTTATCAAATGTTCGATTGTCTAAACTATTTGCTGTTAAACTTTTAGACATAGGTGAAGAGGCAGGAGTAATAGAATACCTCAACTTCATATTTAACTCAGATACATCCAGTTCTTCGTAACCTTTTTCAGTGCAGGGAGTACGAGGCAACACATTGCTGTGGTGCAAAGTGTTTTCTTTGTTGTCAAATTCACTGTTAATACTGTCAATGTCCATGGGCTCAATTTGAGCCATTGTATTAATTTCACTGAACGAAACACTAGTACAACTATTCACTATGTTCGACTTGTCTATACTCGAGAAAACTATTTAATACGCCAGTAAAAGTTCTTTTTATTCATTACAATTTATTCATCACATGTAAAGTACCTAATATGTTTAATATAAACTGTTTTGACACCAAAAGGTTTCACTCAGACCCCAACGCATATTACCATCAACATGCACACTATGTATGTCAAATGACAACAAAAATAACAGAAGTCGCAACTCACTCCAAAGTCTATTTTTAAACTTTTTGTATAGCAAGCAATGCGACGTTCGTTTTATGTAACTCGCGTGCCCGAGGGAATCTTGCCAAAAAGCTATTACAAACAAACACAAATACGCCGGTCAAGTCAACGTTCCGAGACCGTTTGAAATCCGACTTTTTTAATATTTTAACTGTCATTTTAAACTTGCCACTATATTTTTTTGTATTACAATACTAAATGTACTCTTAGAATGAATAAAAAGAATGCAAAAAAAAAAAGAATTTTTACCATTAATAATATCTTAAATTATTAAATATAAACATACATTTTATAAAGATTAGTTCGGAGTCATATCATAACAAAGAAATAAATTAATTCATTGACATTTTATAATTAATATTCTGTTAAAGTTGGAAGTGATTTTCAGACCTTTACTTAGAAATTTTATAAATATATAAAACTTGTTTAGCTGAATTTTCGATGACTTTCTTATTTAATAAAAGGTAATACTATTTACAATTTACAACTGTAGAAGAAAGACAAACTTTTTATTTTAGTTCAAGCAACACTGTCTGTACGCTTAAAAATATTTCATTTGTAAGTTGTTTGTTGTATGTAAAAATACATTTTTCTACTTTACCTAAGAAATTAAGTACATCTACATTTTAATTAATATACAAGAACTGATTTCAACTGTGTTTATAGTTGAAGGTAAGGCAAGAGAGTCATATACCCATTTTTTTAATTTAGAGGTTAATTAAATTTTAAATAACAATTACTCCTGCTCGTCCGGGTTTAGCAATACCTCGTAACGTCAAGCAAGCAATGCTATGAGATATTAAATGTTAAATTGTTAACGGACTGTCACGCGATTTGCACAAGCTGCAGAAATAATTATTTGTTACCCGAATATTAATATATTGCTAACCAATTCTACCAATTTTTTTATTAGCTTGATCACATCACTTATTTTATTTAGAATTTGCAATAAATGTATCGATTTGCAACCTCTTTTTCACATTTGTTTTATAGTATTTAATACCTAACATTTTAGATTAGCAAAATATATTCTATCATTATGAAGTTTTCAGTTTTATACCTCTAATTTTGCAATTGCAGGATGAATAATGGAAATGAGCATGAGGTCACCGTGAAAGTGTTATTCTTTGCTCAATCAAAGGAGTTGGCTGGCACTAGAGAGGCAACTATACGGGTGCCACAAAGGCTAAGCTACGAAAAACTATTGAAAATCATCACTGAAAATTACAATCTCCAATCGATAAGGAATAATATACTTTTAGCAAAAAATGAAGAGGTTTGTGCGGATACCATAGATCTTGAGATAAGAGAAAGTGATCTTATAGCTGTGATACCACCACTCAGCGGTGGCTAACTCTTAGTTCACCTTATAAAGCAGTCAACATGGACCACTTGAAATTGACCTTTGATAAGTTGTCTGTTGAATACATTAGTGACCTAGTGTTGGACAATAGCTGTGGAGCTATTTCCGTTTTTGTTGGAACTACTAGAGACAATTTTGAAGGTAAAAAGGTTAGTTTAATCTCACATTTATAACTGTTCTGATTTATTACTTCTGTTATCTAATATCTTTTGTCCATTTTTTAACTTAGTTGTACTAACTATGAAGTACAGTATTTATACTTATCTGTTGTAATAAATGACCCACTAATCATTACCTAAACTGCCTCTTGCGCCAGACGTGGGTTTGATCCCCTCTACTGGAAAAATGTGTGTGGTGAACATAGTGGTTTTTGAATGTCTGGGTGTTTATATTTGTAAAATATGTATTTCTATACAAAAGTATGTTTAACTAGTAGCCATAGTGTTGGGGCTTTAGGATTGTGTAAAAATGTGTCCTAAAAGTATTTATTTATAAAAAAGTATGTCAGAGCAGAAACCTACATTAGATACAGTAACTTTTATGAAACTTTTTATAGATCCAGCAAACACCTTGAACAAATTTGGATATAGTGGGGGAACATTTTGTACATGTTTTGTTGTTTCATGTCATTATGTGTTAGCAGGTATAATATACTGTGTTGTGTAATAATATTATAATTATATTATAATCAGCATCTACCTTCCCATCCATATAATGTAAAGGGGGCAATAAGTAAATAAGCTTTATATGTAGCTAATGTGATAGGATATTGTGGTAGTCAATCATATAAAGCCTTCTAAAAACAACTTTATCTGACCATAACCAATTCAGTTTTGATTTTTTCCCATGCAGGTGGTTAAATTAGAATATGAGGCATATGAACCAATGGCACTGAAGGCAATGAAAAGTATTTGCGATGAAATCCGAAGCAAGTGGCCTGCTGTACATGGCATTGCTATATACCATAGGTATGTACTTCTATTTTTATGTAGTCTTTTTATATCTAGTTTACTGTTACTGTTCAAGTAAAATGGAAGTGTAGGATGTTTTGTTTTTATACATTAATTATATTTAAAAATTATCATAACCCTTTATAACTTAGATTCCTGTTTTGACAGGGAAGAGTAATCATTTACAGTTTTTATTAACATAACTGACATTTTGGGATTGGCTTTAAGTTTAGTGCTCATAATCACTCGCAATGAAATCTAATGCGAGTTTAATAGATAACTTGTCGAAAAAAAAAATGTTGAGCGATTCGAACCTTCCATTCGAAAATGGCCGCTAAATTGAAAACCATATACTTTACGCGACCCCACACCTGCAGCATTATCCAAAATGCCGCACTCTATAATTATATCATATCAGCTGTTCAAATGTGGTGCCTGCTATGTCTATATACATACATCGGAACATGATTAAAAAACACTGGTATTTTCATTTCAAATGTTAGGTTGTCTTAAATATGTTTTGATAGTTTGTGAAAACACATCTATTGCGTCAAGTTCACAGTCTCTGCGCTGACCCACATTATTTATCTCGCGACAGCATAAGTATTCTACATATTCAGTGAACATTTTTGATTAAAATCTTTTTCGTTAGCGACTCACATCCCATCTTGCCAGTCCTAAAATTTTTAGTTTTAAAACATTCATCACTTGTAATCTTTGTGTGATATGGGAATATGATAATATGGAGAACCTTTTTATAGTATTTACGATGGAAATTAATTTTTACGAAATTTGTAAGGTACTGCCTTATAAAATAATGGAACGAAATATAAATAATATGTGCCAAAAATCGCGAATGGCTTGATATCTAGAAGATAAAGTACTATTATTATTTATCTATTCAAAATTGGTCGAATTTGAACTACAGAGGAAACTAATCTTTATCTTATTATACTTATCTTATTATATTATACTTAAACATCGTCTCTTATTAGATAATAAGTGATGTTGTTGATATATAATGTAAAATAAAATATATAATGTTGTTGTTGATAAGTTGTTTCGTAAATACTATATTTGTTTTTTACAATATTTTAACCCGACGTGCGACCTCGCGCCAATTTACTTAATCCGATCCAGTTCATACATTGGTTTCGTGAGTCCGTAGAATATAAAATGTAAGAAATTCAAATTGAACGAAACAAAAAGTTAACTGTTATGATGTCTTTATTTAGTTGACGCAGTTCTAAAGCTAATTCAAAAACACATAAATATGGAAAAAAAATTATAATCTCTTGTAAACTGGAACCAGGTGTGTGATACGCGGTTGCAAAATGCAAAAAAATATAGATTAAATATAAATAAAGCTAAGTGACGGCTTGATGCATGAATTAGGTACACGTCCAGAAAGTAGAGCAGCAACGAATAAGATAGTAGGTGCGATAAGCGAAGTAGGTATTTGTACTTTCTCGTTTCGGCTGTCAAGTGATCTAACCGTCACCTTCTTTATGATTGGCGATGCAACTGCAACCGAGGGACGTTATCATAAGTAATTTCCATTAATAATTTGCTAACTACGTAGAATTAAAACTACGTAGCTTTGAAACTGACACATTTTTGGAAAATTTAGAAAATTCTAATTAGAAGATTATTGAGCATTATCCACGCATCGCGTACGGCCTCGCCCAAACGACGTTACCCGCCCGACGCACCTATGTAATCATATTTATGCCCAACGCGCGTTTACATTTCATCATTTTTGCGTTTCATACGGCAAGTGTATTAGCAGTACATTTTTCAACGGCCTTCTAGTAATGAAAAAAGTAGCGTCTTACTTAGTAGTTAAGTAAGTTAACTTATAACTAAGCTGGCAATGGGTACCTACACCATGTTCGTTAGGGTTTAGACGTCAATGCGAGAAAATAAAAATACATAGTTTAAATCTGTTATCATAATTATATATTACCATTTATCATAGTTTAATTATATCAAGCAATAAATTCCGCGAATATATGCTTAATTATTTTGTGTTTAAAAAGTACCCAAACCTACATTCGTTTATATAAATTATATTATACACGGACGTTCGCTTTAGCAACTGTCATCAGGGCCGTCTGATATATAACATAACGTAGGGTAACAGCCTATACATGTCTCAATGCTGGGCAAAGGCCTCCTGTGTACATATAGTATTAGGGCATAGTCCACGTCCATAGGCATAGACCACGCGGCCCCAGTGCGGATTGGCGGACTACAAAATATTTTTTCTTCGCTATTATATCGAAAATATGCGCCTTGACACAGAGCTATCACGGCCGTGGTACACTGTTGTGTGTGTGCGTGTTACGTGATACGAGGATTGGTAACCGTGTTGAGTTTGTGTGAGCGCTTAGAATTCATTGGTGCTCGCAACAAGGTTGCTCGATTATATTGAATCAAAGACGAGCGCCGGGACACTGAGCTATCACGGCCGTGGTAACTGTTGTATGTATGCGCGCTACATGATACAAATCTTGGTAACCGTGTTAAGTTTGTGTGAGCGCTTAGAACTCATTGGTGCTCGCAACAAGGTAGCTCGAGTATATTGAATTAAAAGCGAGCGCCGGGACACTGAGCTATCACGGCCGTGGTAACAATTGTGTGTGTGCGCGCCACAGGCTGGGCGCGGTGGCATGCCGAGAGGCGTCCGTGGTGGTGGCCGTGAGCAGCCCGCGGCGCGCGGAGGCGACGGCCGCCGCCGCGCACTGCGTCGACCGCCTCAAGGCCACGGTGCCCGTCTGGAAGCGGGAGCACTACGCCGGCGGCCACCAGCCCCAGTGGAAGGAGAACCAGGAGTGTGCGTGGGCCAGCGAACCCCCCGCGAACACATACTAACACACACACACACTCGGACACACACAACGACGCACAACTCTAATGTACTTTACCTATGGATTGGCTCTGTAACAAGATGGCTTACATTTTTGATATCTTTAGCCATCTAATAGCATTCGAGACATTGTTCCTTGACGCAATTACATCATACCATAAATAAACAAGTAGGTGAAAAGAAATATGTTCCTATAATGACCCGAACTTATAGTGAGAACGAGACAGATATAGATGCCCTTTCTCACTTGTAATTTCATCCAGTACATAGGAATTTTAAAGGCGGATTTATGTTTTGCGGACCGTTTCATCATAGTCTCTCGTTATTTATATTCTTTAACATATTCATAAAGCGATACATCACACGGTACATTGCAGAAACAAAGTAAGAACAAATAGAATACGAAACATATATGGTTGTCTGTTTTCTTACTAGTTTGTTTTTTTTTTATTATTTATTGGTTTTGGTGTTGTTTTTAGGTGCAATAAAATATTTTTCAATTTTTATTTTATATTAGAGATAAGAATATTTGCCAATGTTAAAATAGTTATAACAAAGTTTTAGAAACAATGCTCGCTCACAAAAGTACACGATTTTAGTGAAGTTTTCGTTGTTTTCAATGTAGTTTTACGATTTATTCCTTTTTTTCTTGTTTAACTAGTTATAAGAGTTAGGAAGATCTATATATAATTAATAAATGTATATTATTGTTGATCTGTGTTTTGTTTTTGTCGCTTCACGAACATGGTCCTTCGAACCTGACACGACCCTAAATACCCTTACAGGTCCATCCCAACAATCACCACAAAGATCACCATCACCACACATACCCGAGACCGCCACCGATAGGAACTTGATACAGATAAACGTATCGAACGAGGAGTTGCAACAGCGCATACAGAACTTCATCGAGAGGAAGAGAGACCAAGTGAACGTTAGCAACATCGCGGACTTTATACCCGGGCACTGCGAGAGCGAGACGCAGGACACGGAGACGTGCGCGAGAGTGAGAACGCAGTTTGTTAAGAGAAGCGACTCTAAGGGACATTTGAAAAGTAAGTTGTCCATAATCGAAGAGCAATCGAGATTTAATTTCGTCGTGTCGATTTTGTGGTGACGATATTTACCTCTTCGCTTTTTGGTTAGTGTCTAGGAACTTTACCCGGAAGGAACCGGTTCGAATCCGGGCAGCGGTGAAAAATGTATGGACAATTTATTTACACATTTAACACACAATAATTTATGTACACATTTTGAGATGAACTCAAGTGCAGAAACTGAAAATAAAATTAATTCCGAATAAAATTTTAAATTGAATTGCTATTTCATAAAATCGCTGTTGTCTGGTATTAGGAGTTAAAATCGATGCTAATTATGGTGACAATAATGAACAGGTTAAACCAACACAGAATATTTCCATTAGATCGAAGTAAAGTTATCAAAAAGTGTCCTGAAAAATATGCACATTCGTTTAATCATGTCTTCGACCATTATATAGATTAAATAGTTTAATTCAACCTGAATTGTTAATCTATTATCATCCTAGGTAGGTACAGATAGTTGGCTCTATCCATTCCAAATAGGATTCTTAAGTCCCTATCGAGATGAGTGATAATCATGTCATCATAAACATCACACTGAAGATTGTATGCAAGAAAATTGTCTATTCCTTCTGTACCCAGAAACGACAGAAGGGTTTTGAAAAAAAATCTTGAAATTTGAATACAAACAACTTATAACAAAATCCTTGTTAATTTATTAGTCACCTATTAATGCAGATATCTGCAGTAGAACTAAGATAACATAACCGATATAGCTGTAGTGGCAATAGGTTGGCCATATAACTCCTATAGCTGAAATTAGGGAAGAAAGGTTCTCGAGTAGTAGTTAGTAGGAAGATCATCCACTAGATGGAGTGATGACCTGTTCAAATGTGTGGAGAGTCGATAATTGGTTCAGTTCAGGTTGCTAAAAGTTACAAATTTAGTCGTTTGGCGCGCTCAATCGACACGTGGTAAGGCCACTGAGCAGCCTCTGCCGTTGCACGAATGGGCAGGCGCGTCTGGGGAAGTACCGAGGTCTCACATTCGAGTTTCGCCTGGTGATTGAGATATCCGGGGCTTTCGTTTTTAAAGGTTTTGGTCTATGGGCGGCGGTATTCTTCCACCTTCTCACATAAAGGTGATTGCAACGAACATGTACCGAAGAGAGAAGGGAGAGCCAATGCGCGGCATTACGAACGTCCGCAGTCCGCAAGGCGCACAACGAGTGGGGCCCGCAGACGGTGCGCGCGGCGGAGGGTGGTGGCGGTGGGGCGGGGGCGCCCTCCCCGGCGCGGTGGCGGAGCGGCTGCGCGCGGCCGAGGGCGCGCTCGGCGTGGCGCCGGTGGGCAGCGACGTGTACCGCCGCCTCAAGGCGGTGGAGGACCGCCTCGCGCACCTGCACGCCCTCTCGCCCGAGTACGCGCACTTCTGGGTCAGTCGCACCGCGCTCACACATCTACTGTCGATCTACAGTCGACGTCTAACTGTACCCGAGTCCAAGGCTCCTTTGCCTGCGGACCTCTTCCGCCGAAGCCGTAAAAGCCACCGGGCTCACAGCAAACTACAGGTCACCAACAAAAAAAAAGTGTAACCGTATCAATTCACCACAATTGTTGATACAAAATAATACATTATTTAAATTTTTCTTTTCTGTCTTAGATCTTTTATTTTACCAGAGAAATGTGAAAATATCAAGTCCAATCCTAAAGTAATACGCAGTTGCTCTTGTATTTTGCCAGTTTTCATAAAATGTAATAACAATTGCTCGCTAGAAACTTAATGAAAGCACAAGTCTTTTTGTTAACAAGTTGAGTTTCACTTGACCATAAATTAATGGGAGGGATGGATTCAGAAGCATCCTTGACCTCAATTTCACTTCCTACATATATCATAATTTATTTTCGAGTTTTTTCCTTCATAAGAAATTGATTGGATAGTATAAATAGTTATAGTTAGTTATTGCCATCAACTCTTTGAATCTGTTAAAACTCACAATATTAATGAAATTGTATCATTCAAAGTTATGCTTGATAAATAGCAGTACCCTTCACTGTTGAAATAAAGGATAAAGAAGAGCATATAAAATTCAAGATAACCCAGTGAATTAAACCGCTGACTCAGTACAACCTTAATCCAATTTCAATGATGAATTTCTTCTAAGTACTTATTACAGTGGCCCTAATTATAATGTTCGATATACTTGCAGAATGTGAAACAAGACTCGACGGAGGTGAAACAGGAGAGCGCGGAATACGTCTACTCTGCGGAAGATATTGCTCGCAAGATAGAGCAGTTGGAGAAGCAGGCGAGCGCTTGAGCAACTCATTTCTGAGGCAACTTCCAGGTCTCTGCACTAATCAGATAGGTTTCAACTGAATAAAACTTGACAATAATACAATACACGATATTCGTAGTGTTTTATTTTTTAAAAACATGATTCTTAATCCTCATACAGACCACTCCAAACATGACTATCATATTTATAAGAGTATTTGCGTTTTCGCATCATACTTATAGATTAAAACTATGTTCCCATGAACAATTTTCAAAGTAATCTTTATAGTTTCCCATAATTCAAAAATATTTTGTAGTAATACAGTAGCCTCCTTTGCTTTTCCCACCTAGATGAGCTCGGCTCATATTAAAAAAGCAAAGTAAATAAAATATTGTTTTCTATTTTAAGATGCAGTGAGTATATAAACAATTTGGTTTTTACTAACTGGAAAGTTTTGTTTTACTTGGAAAACGTAGTGTCGGACGTCTCCCTGTCAAGTGGACTAATGACCCGAGAAAGGTAGTGGCTGGATGAGGCTGGATGATGAGGAAAGCAGAGAACCGTGCGTTGTGGCATGCTCTTGGGGAAGGTCTATGTCCAGCAGTGGACTGCAAAAGGCTGATTGATTTATTGTTTGAAAGGTCATCAACATATTCATAATGTATTCACACAATAAATGAATTATTAAAAAATTATAAAATCGTAGTTCTTAAAACAAGGTATCTAATGGAAGGTAAAAGTACTGGTAACTTTAAATAAAACAGTAGTTAAAACAAAAATATTTTATTAATACTATTTACAAACTTTCGGTTCACAATTGACGAAAGCCACAAGAAATTGTCGTGCATTTTGGCGTGCTACTGTTTGCTGAAGGCATATGTTGCGATATGTTTTATTATTATACAAAGGAAGAAGAGGAACACAATGAAAATGAAAAAAAAATAGAGTAGCTCTTAATAACTGTAAACTACCATGCATAGCTTATATTCAAACAATAAATGGAAAAAATGAAATGAATATATTGTCTAAACATTAATGTAAAAAAACATAATAATAAATAGTGATAATATTAGAGAGAGAAAAAAAAAGAAAGCATATAGTGATAACAATTATATGTTTATAAATTAAAAAATATATGCACCTTTTCATATGTAAGTTAAATGTCTGTGTAATTTTCTACAATCCTATTAAGTGGACACTGCGGTATTTTGAAGTAAGGGATGCGAATCGTCGATGAAAAGTCCCCTTGTGCGGGTGCGGGGTCAGTTGGGCCGGGGCCGGCGCAGCAGCACGATCAGCCCCAGCGCCAGCGAGAGCAGCGCGATGAGGCAGGCGTCCCAGTCGGCGGGCAGCTGCAGGGGCAGCTGGAGGGGCAGGCGGAGGGGCGCGCGGGGCAGCGCGTCGGCCAGGCGCTGCGCGGCGGCGGCGGCGTGCAGGCGCGCCAGCGCCAGCGCGGCGGGCAGGCGCGCCTCGGGCGCCGTGTCGGCCGCCAGGTCGTAGCAGCGCTTGGCCAGGTGCGGGTCGCGCGCCAGCCCCAGGCCGCGCTCGTGCATGTAGCCCAGGTTGAAGGTGGCCTGCGCGCTGTGCAGCTGCTCCGAGGCCACGCGGTAGTGGTACGCCGCCGCCTCCAGGTCGACGGCCGTGCCCAGCCCGTAGTAGTGGTAGTCGCCCAGCTTGACGCGCGCGCCCGCGCTGCCCTGCGCCGCCGCGCGCGCCCACAGCTGCAGCGCGCGCGCCCAGCGCTGCTCCGACGGGAACAGCCGCGCCTCGCCTGCCGACGAGAGCGACGCGTTATTACGCCACGTTCTCTACCCGTTTGGGGTACGCCAGCTAGCTGATAGGAGCAGTCGACGACCGATGTCGAGGAGGTAGGCGGCGTTGCTCTGCGCCAACTCGAAGCCTCGCTCGGCCACCGCCAGGTACTGCGCCAGCGCGGAGTCCATGTCGCTGGCGCGCCACGCCGCGTGCGCCAGCATGAGGCGGCCGCTCCAGCTGCCCCTCTCACACACGTTCTTCAGCAGCTGCAGGACAACGCAGGGGTCAATCATATCGGTCTCATACCCTGGGCCTCTATATCTGGGCCAAAATATCTGGCTTCTCAGTACATGCTTGAAAATGTTATGTATGTCCATCAAAATAACAATAAGCTTTCAAGATTTTGTGATGTCCATGAAATAAATACGAGGGACTAGGATATAAATACATAGAAATACCAAAATCTTTGACTTATCTGAAACCACAGATCGTGTAATAATTACCAAAAAATTAGGACCTTATAATTTAATTTTGTTAATATACATATATAAAATCTGACAAGACATGTACAAAAGGAGTGCGAACTGGAGACTGTAAGGATTTAAAATCTAAGGATTTAAGGTCAGGGAATGTATACAGGATGCAGGAAGAACATCATAGAGAATGTACTGTTTTTTGACAATCATTAAAAGTTTAATTTTTTTTAAATTGCCCTTTAGGATAACATCATCCTATGGTATCAAGGACATTTTTTTTATGTGACAAGTTGGCAAGCGAGCAGGCGGTTCACCTGATGTTAAGTGAATACCGCCGCCCATGGACATCTGCTACTTTTGAAAATTGAGCTCCAGCCACCTCCTGCTGCATGGCAATTTGCCGCAGTCCTGTACGGGATACCGAATTGGAATGGAACGGCCGACTGACCTCGACGGCCGTGGAGCAGGAGCGCAGCACGCCCAGGCCCTGCGCGTGCATCAGCGCCAGGTGGTAGAAGGCCAGCACGTGGCCAGACTGCGACGCCAGCGAGAAGAACTTGTTCGCCTGCTTGAAGTCGCGCCGGACGCCGATGCCACCTGCCACAGAACGCGCGACTCTCAGACTTAAACGGATACAATCCGCTGTGGACATTGTCTACGAGTTTAGAGCTTTCGTTATATGACAAGCTTCGATCTTTCTGTGTTACACTTCTCGAGAAATAGAAAACCGGTTGCAAAACTATAGAGGTGACGTGTCCGTCTATTAATGGTACAATATTGACATAAGTGTAAAATGGCCAGAAAAAAGAAATAGGAGTATCTATTAATTGATAAGTAGTTCCATATTAAAATAATCTAAAAATGAATTATTCATTTATTTTAATACAGATCTAAATGGTTCGAATTCTTATGATTATTTAAAAAATAATAGAACTTTGCTGCACCAAGCAAAAATAAGTAATAAGTTCACATGGAGGGTAAAATATTAAAATAAATATCATACAAAATAAACAATTGCAAAATAAATGTGTATTATTTTTCCCCCTAAATTTCCTAAAAATACTATATTTTTATAACTTAGAACAAGATAAGGCTATTTCCTCTTCAAAAAAGGTGACATTCATAGACTCACGGAAGTACATAAGGCCGAGGTGCAGCTGGCCCTCCACCCAGCCCTGGTTGGCGGCCATGGTGAAGTACTTGAGGGCGGCCGCCGTGTCCCTGGGCACCCCGCGGCCCTGCGCACACCAAAAGCCCCATCAAAGTGGTACTGAATTTACGACTCTTATTTAGCTTATTATTTTCCATTTGCAAAACAATTTTATAAGTATTTAACTATATGGTATATGGTGACAGCATCACACAGCATATTGGTTATAAATATCTATGATGTTGCAGTTTCTAATGTCTTTACTTATTACTGTTTAAATTATAAAATCTTATAACCTTTTTATACAACAGTCAATGGTCCTTTAAAGTCATAATAATGAATTTCATGGTAGTTCAAAGAGAGAATAATAATAAAGTATTTACACCTTCAATTTATGTTGCAATTAGTTGGTTATACATTTGTTGGTGACACGTAAGATCTGATCATTGTATCACATTGTCTAAGTATATGGCACCTGCAGATACATGATGCCGAGACCGCTCTGTCCCACTGCATTGTTCAGCTCTGCCGCCTTCTTGAAGTAGTGGAGGGCTGTTTCGTTATCTGGCTTAACACCGTCACCACCTTCTAAATAAATCTGAAACGACAAATTCCTCAATTAACAAACAGACGCTTGAAGCTTCAGATGGACAAGTGTTAAGCAAAATGTTGACATTTCATAGGTGGGGTCCATTCCACATGAAAATTTATATGGTACAGATAAGTAAATCGGATCTGGGTTGCAAAATAATCTAATGGTGTAGTGGGGATAGATTAAGAATATATATATATTACATTTATTAGGAAAAAAAAAAGGATTTAACAAAAGCTTTTCTGATATTGATCAATTTATTTGCCAATAAGAGACTAGAGCAATTTTAGTTATGTTTTTTGAATACCTTTCCTAAGAAAGCGTTGGCAACGGCGTTTCCAGTCTTGGCAGCCTGCTTGAAGTAATGCAGTGCTTTGCTGATATCCAGGTTAACACCTCGACCACCTTGAAAATGCAACTGTCCGAGGCCCACCTGAAGCAAGATAGAACGCAATATAAAAGCTGAATTAAAAAAAAATAATATAGGTATTACAACAGTTTTTAACGGTGGTAGGGCCACGCAGCAGCCTCGGCTGTTGCACGAATGGGCAGGCTCGTCCGGGTAGGTACTACGACCTCACAGAAGACCGGCGTAAAGGAAGTTTAGTACTTTCGCGTCTCGTCTCGTGAGTGAGGTAGCCAGAGCCCAATTTCCAAAAAGGTTGTCAACGCATCTGCAAACCCTCGGGTGTAGCAGATATCCATGGGCGGCGGTATTCACTTAACATCAGGTGAACCGTCTGCTCGTTTGGCAACATACCACATGAAAAAAAAAAAAAAAGAAGCGGTTGTCTCTTGAATCCTGTGGACAGTAGTGGACAAGAAAGGAGCGTATTGATTTCTTGTATTCGCATGAATATTATACCTAGTGTAAGTAAATGACCCAGTTTTAAGGCAGTTTATCTTGTTTTCCCACCCATTCAATTCATCATCGGCTCGGGATCCCGTTATTTATAAAATGAAATTGAAACAAGCCACCACCACCGGCGAGAGCCAGAAGACGAAGAGCAGCGCTCACCTGCGCCTGCACGTCCCCCTTGTCGGCCAGCAGCTGGTAGTAGTCGATGAGGTCGCTGTCCAGCGCTCCGCCGCTGCTCTCGGCCTCGTCCATCAGGCGCACGCGGTGCACCGCCGTGCCGCCGCTCATCTTCACCTTGCTGGCCACTGGCAGAGCGGGTGAGACTGACAGGTTATCTCAAATGTCTCAAAAAGGGTAAGTAACAGGCTATACGTGTATGTGTAATAGAGCCGTGATAGCTCAGTGTCCGGGCGCTCGCCTTTAATTCAATATACTCGAGCAACCTGAGTTCGATCCCCGGTGCCGGCACCAATGAAATTGTCAATTTTAAGTGCTGAATTATCACGTGCTCAGCGGTGTAGAAAAACATCGTGAGGAAACCTACATATTTTCGAAATAATAACAAAAAAAATATTTCGAAGATATGTGAAGTCTATGTCTATGGTTGAGTTACCTGCCCCACTGCAGATTGGCGGACTTCACGTATCTTCGAATACTCTTTTTGTTATCATTTCGAAAATATGCAGGTTGCCTCACGATGTTTTCCTTCGATTATGAGCACGTGATAAGTTTAAATGTAGCGCTTAATGACAATTTCATTGACGATTGCACCGGGGATCGAAATTAGGTTGCTCCAGAATATTGAATTAAAGGCGAGCACCCGGAGTGACCTATCACGGCTTCGAGATGTCTTCTCTGGCAACAAACACTTACATTTACGACGGTTCATAAGTTACAACGAATAATACATTCGGTCCCCTGCCAAATACCCAACATTCGACGGGTTTCCTGGCAGAAAAAGCAAATATTAAGCTAAAGACTTCAGCGCGTGGCGGAAAAACTTGTCAACGTGATTCTTTCTAGTTTGTTCAAATGTTTTTACCACCCTTCTACGCCGCACTTTCCTTTCTATGCTAATTTATTTCGAATACATAGTAAATTTTAAAGCACACTTTATAATTGTCTCTAAATTTTTAAAAGTAAAATTATGAAGGTCCAAAGATAATAAGACAATAATACATTTTTGGTTCTAAAAAGTCCTCCTCTATGGACATTCTTCAAGGATCATCATAAAATGAACAAAAATCAATCTTTCTGCTTAAAAACCCTTTCAGTTCTAAATTATAATAACAATAAGTCAGCGAGGACACACATTCAAATGAAATTAAGAAAAAAGTACATTGTATCAAAAATGAAAAATTAAGACCCACTACTATAGTAAATGACTCACAACTCTATTAGAGTGCAATAGCATATTTTCTTTGTCCACTGTAAACACACATTTGTATGAAAATGCAGGTCAGCTTTTTGTAAAAGCAGTGTACTGCTTAAATATGTTACTAAAGACCTTCTGCTATGTTATGGGGTCAAGTGAGACCTGTGAGTCAAGAGTCCAATTAGATTCTTTTTACCTTTAGTAGCGACTTTCATGTACAGCTCCATTGCTTTGGGGCATGAACTGGGCACGGTCACACCGGCCCAGTAACGGTAAGCCAATGCCATCTGAGCGTAGTCGCTGCCACCCAACATGCCGAACGTATAGTGGACCAAAGCGCGGGCTTGCGACACGGTCACTCCTAGGCCCGTGGCATATAAGAAACCCATTCCCTGTTAAAAGTGGAATTATTATCTGAAATATTTTTATTACCAAATATGATTACGAAATATATAACATAACAAGTTTTACCAATACAATATTTATATTAAGCTTGGTTTGACTACTCAAAGTGCCACTTACCATCCAAACATGCCGTCAAAAGATGGCACGTCAAAATAAGATAGAAAGATACTCAAATAGACCAACAGGCATATTGTTTCCCTGTTCATCTAATTGTACAATGTTCTTGCTCAACAGAACCAATTACTACATATACTTTTGTAAATAAAAGTGTAAGTATTAATATAATATGCAAAGACTAGTCTAACCATGCTATTCAACAACTTACCACCGCACAATACTTACAGCATGTGCGTCAGCAATCCCTTCATTGGCTAACGCCTCAAAAATGTCTTTAGCCTTTTCTATGTCTAGTTCCACTCCCTCCCCAAAGATGTACGACCAAGCAAGCCTAATCTTGGCAGGGTGGTAGCCACGTTCAGCTGCTAGCTTAACTTGCATAGTGGCGCCTCGTAGATCTGCGGGCCGTCGGTCCAACTTTTCTACAGCTGCATCATATATCTGTTTAGCTGAAAATATGAAAAAGACTGTTTTTGAATACTATTATAAATTTTTCCCCAAAGTTTTTATAAACTAAATCAGATTCCCTATTTCCAATAAGGACAAATGTATGCTTTTGCATAAAAATAGTACACTACTAATAGTAATAACTAGAAAATGTCATAGTAGGTGTAGTTGTACAGTGCATGTGATAGTATGATGATAGTGTTTTTATTTTCATCATAATCTGATTGAATTGAAACAATCATTTCAAATTATATAACTGATCACTGAAATTTACTGTCAAATGAAACAATACCTCTGATAATCAAAATTAATTAAATTTACCTTCCTTCAAGTCCGGTGTTAGCTCAGGTTCTACTTCCGTAACTGGATCTTGTAAATTACCAAAAATTTCTTTTGATTCATCCTGTGATTTCTGTAAACAAATAAAAAAAAAACTTAACAATATTTAAAAAACCTTTATTAATATAAATTTTTAAGTCCACTCACATTGTTCAGTTAGCTAGCATGTGTAAGAAAGAGAGAGAGAGAACAAGTCTGAGAGTCCAAGGGAGGAGGTATCACACATATCCTTCTCTGACATATCTACCTACTAACACCACCCATAAGTCATTTATTCAGGAATATGACCAGACAATAAAAATTCCAAAATTACTCAGATAATAAATATTTTGTGTAATCACTTATGAGAAAATGCTTGACCTAAAAAAGACCATAATGACCTATATTGACTATTACCTGAAGACCACCCTCTTCATCTTTAGTATCCTGATGTGTATATGTATGTTTTTTTAAAAGATGAAGTGCATACTTCATGTGTTCCATTCGCATTTCAGACATTTTGGAGGGTTTCTTAAGAAGTTCTGTAAATAAGAGAAACAATTATCATGCACTGGATATTATAAATTACCATAAAATCATTAAACTGTTTAAAACTGTATATTTATTGATAATTAATGTTGTAGTATAAAGTAAACAAAACTACAAAATAAGTTGATATACAAATGGCTTTTAGTGGAAATGGATTACTTCATAATTTTTCTATATTTATCTATCAATTGCAAAATATTTCTAAGTGAAAAAGCTAATGTAAATATGAACCAGGTTATCTAATATCATTTCACTAAATAATATACAAAGTTATCTTGACAAAATTATGAGATAATTTAAAAATATCTTGATTTAAGTAATTCTACCGATGGATGTTCTTTGGTGTTAATGTAGTTAGTATGGTCTCCATGGGATTTCTTATCCAAAAAGTGCTAGCCACTTTTCCCACTACGGAATGATTCTTGAAAGATGTCATCCGTAAGGCTCTTGTTTCCATCAATCTTACTTCTATTTAAGAACCCTGTGCCATATTCTGCCAAGATGGCGAGACTGGACAACTTAACTTTAATCACTTGGGAGAGATCCAAAGAATTTGTTCAGGATGCTACTTGTGTACATATTTGAAATTTTTGAAAGGTTTATATCCTACACTTATCACCACAACTAGGGACAAGAGGCCTGGTTCTTTTCTCACTCCAAAGTAAAGCATAACTATTCAGCAAGGAAATGCAACTAGCTTTCTTGGCACCATGCAACATAGCCTAAATTTATTAAATTATATGCAGTTAAGTTAGATTTAATATTGTAAACATTTTTTGTGTATTAATTAAGTCAAGAACCATTTTAATTAATGGTTTTACATAACTAAAAAACATTTAAATTTCTAAACACCATATTATTTAAAATACCGTTTACTGAGTCTTCAATTTCTTCTTCATTTTTATCTATTCTGTCTTTCAGAGCTTCGGCGGCATTTTGTAGAGTTGCCAATTCTTTTTGTACTGCATCCGAAAGTTTCTTGAGATATTCCACACCGACTTTTGCATTTGGATCTGACTTCTCTAAACTATCGGATTCATCATCGTCAAACTGCCCTTTGACTTTACGACTTTCGGGGCCTAATAACTCACCCGTAGAGAAAGCGACGCAAAGGTAAAAAACAAACCAATACAATCGACTCATTATAGATTTTGGTTTTCTTCTGAAATTATTAACTTACGTGTCTCTATGTGATATTATGAAATGAACTATAACCATTTAAAAATTGTGCATATCTTTGAAATGGATGAAACCATTCATGAATACACACGTGTACCACCTAAATATATATCACATTATTTCGTACTTAATGTTAAATATTTTGTTTCCGACGAAACCACAAATTAGCAACCAATTATTGTCGTAATGTCATATCTTCGTGATTCAGAGATTATTTTTTACAGTTTTTAATCTCGTTATTGACATAAAATGTAACGTCCTGTTCACGCAATTTAAAATATATAAATAAAATATTCTACATCACTTAGAAAATAGTATAGTTATTCGAGCCCCTTCAACTTATTAAATTTAAGTTCTGTTAAAAAAGTTCAATAATAAAATTGAAACTTGCCTATTTATAAACATATAAGCATTATAAAATATAAATTTATATGATTCTTATAAAAACGATATTTTTTAAAAATTGTAGCTAAACAGGGAGACAAATCATTAGAAATATTTCAATATTTTTTTTATTAATTGCCATTCATCTCTTGGCTGTAATTTCTATTACATAATTGACCTTTGTTTTAATTTTGACTTTGACGTTCTGTAAAATAGAGAAAGAAAGATTTATTTGGATTTATTTTTACTTGACATTTATTTAATGCTACGTCCATTCGATTTGAATTTTACATGCCAAAAAAGAAATAAGATATCATGTCACTGTATAATTTGCATATGATGATGTTTTAAATAAAACTTTCACTTTTAAGAATACTCTGCAACTGTATCTACATAATTAAAAACAATGTTTCGAATACCGGGTCCGAGGAGGATTAGAGCTATATATGAAATACATAGAACATTGACGTCCAGTAGCTATATAAGGCGGTCCTTTATTGAATATTTTGTTCAAAATCATCAACATAACTATGTTAAGTCAAGTTCAGTAGTACCTCTATGTGACCCTACAGTACCTTTTGTTAATGCCGGAATGAATCAGGTAATGGCTAAATATTTCCAGAAAATCAAAAATAATAAGTGAAAAAATCAATAACGTTTACTATTTATTTCTCATGTATTGTACTGATTAACAAAATAATAAGAATTTGTTTACATTTTAATTCCAAGTAAAATATTATTCTATTTTCAGTTCAAAGGTGTATTCCTTGGTTTGGCTGAAGCTCCATGTGCAAGGGCTGTTAACTCCCAAAAATGTGTTCGCGTTGGTGGCAAGCATAATGATCTAGATTTAGTTGGAAAGGATGGTCACCATCACACATTCTTTGAAATGCTCGGCAACTGGTCTTTTGGAGACTATTATAAGGTAATAACAGCTATTGCAGTAGTGTCCAAAGTTTTTGTACATCATCTACCCAATTCAATTTAAAATAAATAACAGGCAAAACAATTGGTATATTTGTTTAGGAAGAAGCCTGCCGTATGGCCTGGGATCTGCTCCTTGGACCTTTTCGGCTGAAACCAGAAGACTTGCTTGTTACTTACTTTGGAGGAGATATTGTAATTGGTTTACAGGAAGATAAAGAGTGTAGAGACATCTGGAAGTCTCTAGGGTTTGTGTATTAATATTCTTTATTTTCTTTGTTCAGTCAATCTTCATATCTTAAGAATATGAACATTATCTATGATTGTTGAGTCAGCTGCTATTGCAGACTGTTTTGTTAATGTGATCTTGATTTTAGTAATTGTACTTTATGTGGTTTTCATAAATAATTTACATACATGAACAACTTTATATGTTAAGGCAATGAACAGTAACAGAAATGAAATTGCTGTTTATGATCTCAGGTATCTTCCCTAGAAATTTCAGCACCTCAAAAGATTAGTTTTGTAAGCTGATTATAAAAACAACTACACTGTTAAATGTGTCTAAGTATGAAAATATTTCTTTGTAATAGAGAATGACTGTTTCATTATAAAAATTGAATGAATGTATAGGTCTTGTGGTAAACCAACCAAATTGATCTAATTTCTATGTTATAGACAGTTTCTTGTAATAACAAATGATGTTATAAAGAGTTTACACTGTATATTACTTGTATAAAAAAATCATCGTTAAAATTCACACATTTGCTACAGAGTGCCTGCAAGCCGTCTACAGGCACGTGGAGTGGCAGACAACTTTTGGGAAATGGGTGCTACAGGGCCATGTGGAGTGTGTACTGAACTGCACTACATAGGGTCCGATGGTAGCCTCACGGAGATATGGAATCTTGTCTTTATTGATTGCTTAAGGTTAGTTATAAATAAAATAAAATAGTAAATAATAAAGGTAAATACTACTAAAATACTTTTTTTTATTACTTTTAATGTAGGAGCTATTTAAAATAGGGTGATCATATTTACGCACAGAGAGGCAGACGGGTCTGTGAAGCGACTACGTCGACAGCACGTGGACACGGGCATGGGGCTAGAGAGGGCGGCGGCGTTACTCCAAGGGGTGCCCACTAACTACGAGACCGACCTTTTCCGTCCACTCTTAAACGCCATCTACAAGGTGATGCATTAACATTTTGTATTTTGAAGCGTTTGGGTAGTAAGTCCCAACGACCACTGCTACCTGGACGATCTATTTTCTGCGAAAACATTGCCCCCTTAATGTAGGATAACATTATCCTTTGTTGACCAACACCCAGATCCGAAACTGGCATCTGTAGATTGCACAAATATTTGTCTCATGTGGGGATCGAACTGACCCCCCGCGCCGAAGCCAACACCTTAGCAATTGCGCCACGGAGTCATCAAAGCATTAACAAGCCCAGCACACTGCTCTGGTAGTAATATACTCTCCGGTAGAGCAATGAGAATTTTTCATAAAAAATGTATACCAGTTAGTGTATGAGCAATGGAGTAGCTCCTTCCGATAAAGTTTAGGCGTCAAGCGTGAGTTTTTATAGTCCAGAATTTTTAGATTTAGATATCATTTTGCAATAAACAGCTAATAGAAAAGGCTTTGTATAATCCACATTTACTTTTATAATGTGGAAATAAATTTTTCATATTTATATGATTGGTAGGGGCGGCGTTGGCTACCCCGCCAGAAAAGCCATAAACCATCACGCAACAAATTCGCTTATGGTCTAACTACCGATTGCAATTTTACCAAGAAAAGAAAAATATTTATATTATATTGTGGTAGTTAACCGCATCAATGCAATCGTGAGATTCACATTTTAAGCCTCGATTTACCACATTCTCAGGAGTAAAAGGAAACATTGTATGGAAATATTTCGATAATATAAAATATTTCGAGAATATTTGGAGTCGCCAACCCGCGATAGGGTTTTGTGGCTGGCTATGCCCTAATAGCCTTAATACTGAGAAGGCCTTTGCATACTGCAATGATTCATAATATGTAGGCTCTTATTTTAGTTTACTGATATTATAAATGTCGATTAACGGTGAAATGTACCAATTATAATAAATAACTAATCCGAACAATATTCGAACCTTCGACCCACGGTACCTAAGAGTATCGCTTAGCAACTGCTCAACCGAGTTATGGTTGTATTTGTGAGTTTAGATATGTATATATTTTATATGGATACATCAGAACAGCAAAGGCGTGTCACCATACGGCGGACGGTATACCGAGGATGCTGTACTGGACCAAGCATACCGGAGACTAGCCGATCATGCACGGATGATCAGTGTCTGTCTAGCGGATGATGTCTTCCCGGTAACTAGGTGAGCTCGTCTAATTTAACGTCGGTGGTAGGGCCACGCAACAGTGTTTGCCGTTGCACGAATGGGCAGGTCCGTGCGGGTTAGTACCACGGCCGCACTGAAGACCGGCGTCAAGTAGAAGTGTTACACTTCTGCATTTCGTCTGGTGAATGAGGTAGCCGGGGCTCACTTCATTAAGAAGTGGCAACGCATCTACAACCCTACGGGTGTTGCAAATTCCATGGGCAGGTGGTTATCACTTAACATCAGGTGAACCGCCAGCTCGTTTGCTACTTTCTAACATAAAAAAAAAAAGAAAACTTCACTAACATCTCGATACAATGACCACTTTCAGTGGTGAGGTAAATTGTCCCAATTGTGAGGAAAAATTAGCTAGTACTATTGTAATACTTATGTACTCATATCTTTATGTGGCATAAAGTTATGTTAAATCAATCTATTTACCTGTAACCTGATGATGAACTGATGACAAGTTAATCATCAATCCGGGCCTAGGTGTGTAGTTATCGGTTTCGATTAATATTTAGGGCAATTTAGCAGGAATACGTAAATATATGAATTGTTATCTGGGTTGCTGGTAACATTTTATGGATTATGCGGGAAAAGAGATTAACCACATCTAATTCTCTTAAATTTTTCGTGTTTCAGTCTGAACCTTAAACAAATCATGCGCAAATCCTTCAAGATGTGCTCGGACGTCTTCCAAAACCCGCAACTCCTGGACAATTTATACATGGAGGTGGCATCCAGCCTCGGAGAAACGTACCCGGAGCTGGTCTCCAAGCAGAGGCAGGCCAGTGTCATTATAGAGCACGAGAGGGAGGCCTACGCCAAACTGCGTGCGGACTTGGGCAAGAAGTGGAAAGGGCTGCTGAAGAAATACCCCGAGATTGAGAGTTTATCCGATGTGGAGATACCGGGCTTTGCTCTTGGGTACACAGAGTTCAAAGAGGTAGGATGAATTTGAACTTTTTCATATCATGTATCAAAAATAAGATGTTAATGCAAGGGCACCAAATTGTACGAATCTATTTTCCTATGATGAACTAGCTGTTGGCAATATTTACCCCATATAGAAATACCGCAATATCGATTTTGGTAATAAGTCCTTTATATAATACTAGCATTTCGCCCGCGGCTTCGCTCGCGTTGAAGCCCTTAAATAAATATCTTTCTTAAAAAAAATCCAATAAAAATAGCCTATGTCCTTTCTCAGGCTCTACACTATCTGTGTACCAAATTTCATTTAAATCAGTTCAGTAGTTTTGGCGTGAAAACTTGTAGAGACAGACGGACAGAGTTACTTTCGCATTTATAATATTAGTATGGATTCTGGCCTTTAATTACTGTAATTAATCTGTTTGTACGGACTCATAATCGCTACCGTCATCACTGGACTGCATAACACTACTACTTTTTTTCTGGTACGGTAGAAAATAGCCCAAAAATTTATATTCCCTTGACATGAGAATTGCTTTTCTTCTTTATGCTTCATCACTATTAAAGTGGTAAGGCCCACAAAATATTAATCCACATTATCGTATTTTCGTGAAATTAAAAACACCGAGTTAACATGCTAAGGAACCAGCAGTGTCCATCACTGGTTTGCAGATTCTGCTAGTGCATGGATGAGCTGTCTTGACCGTGGAAGTACTGCGGAGTCAAATAAGTCTTATGTAAAGTAAAGTATCTGTAAAGAAATGTGCGCTTTATAAGATAACTATGTCTAAAGTCCTCTGTATTTTTTGCAGACTATGGCCAAATTGAACTCGACCACAATACCTGGAGAGCTGGTATTCAAATTGTACGACACGCATGGCTTCCAAGAGGACGTCATCGAAAGAATATCTAAATTAAACAATCTCAATATAGACAAGCCAAGCTTCTGGAAACTTTTGGCTCAGCATAAATCCAAACATAAGGCGGCATTCAAAGAGCAGACCACAAACAAGAATTTGAAATTCGACACGACTATAGAGAGATTAATAAAAAGTGGAGTTAAATGCACAGACGATTCACATAAGTATGATTATGTACTAGTCAATGATGAAATAACATTTGAACCGCTCAAATGCAAACTAGTTTCAATGTTGAACGAAGACGGCGAATGGATAGACTTTCTAGATCCATGTGAGGATAGACTATACTATTTAGTTACGGATAAGACAAATTTCTTTTGTGAGGAAGGTGGTCAGATAGCGGACAGTGGTATTATAAAAGTAAGTGATCTGGTGACAATGAGAGTGGACAGTGTATTTAAAATACGGGACTTTGTTTTTCATAAGGGACATTTCATATTAGATAAATCAAATGAAAAGAAATATGTGAAGTGTAATAGTGAAGTAACATTAGCGATAGACAGCAATAAAAGGTTGGAAGTGATGAAGAACCACACTGCCGTGCATTTGTTGAATGCAGCCATGAGGAAGGTGTTGCCGAACAGTGTTGTCTGTCAAATTGGTTCTCAGGTGACTGATAAGGGGTTCATATTGAATCTGTCAGTTTATGGTGAGAAATTGTCAGAGAAGGCGATATCGGAAGCTGAAGCATTAGTAAGGTGATACTAAGCTTTATTTTATTTTGGATTCTTTCTTTTTTTGCTTGAAACTAGTGTTATTTTTACTATAATATATTTGTTTTAATTCAATTATTTTCTCCTATATTTTAAATTTCTAGCACAAACCTGACATTTGAATATGTAAATTACTCTGTCTACCGATGCTTTCAGAAGATGAGATTTTTTAAATTTTTAAACAACTTTATGTACCCTAGGTGTCAATACATAAAATGAGAGGGGACAATTGAGGAGCAACAGGTTTTATGCGACAGGTCCGCCATCGAGAGCGACGCGAGGGTGGTCAGCCAGGAGCTGGACAGCGTGCGCGTGCAGGGAGAGGCGGAGGTCCTCCGGCTGCCCGGGGAGCGCTACCCTGAGCGGGGGCTGCGCCTCGTGGCCTGCGGGGGCCCGCTGCCCTCCAGGTGGGACCCTGATGCCTCCCCTATCCCCCCGCCAAATTGCGCGTGCGGACCCTACACGTGATATTAGTCTTAAACAAACTCGTCCCGCTGTCTGTCTGTCCCTATGTATACTTAGATCTTTAAAACTACGCAACGGATCTTGATGCGATTTTATTTATTACATATAGTGATTCAAGAGGAAGATTTATATGTATAATACATTGCACCCGTGCGAAGCCGGGGCGGGTCGCCACTAACAAATAAATATTAGTTACACACCGCACGGTACCTCAGCTGTTCGTATTCAACATCACGAACATGTATATGCACTCGTGCGCGATACTATAGTTCTATGTTGCTTTGTACAGTCATTCTCTCTCTAGTTTTTGCGAGGAAGAGATTAACTTGATAAAAATAAGTTAGTATACGTTCTATATGTACAATTGGAAAAATTGTATTGTGAACTAAAAACTGGACGTGGAATCATACATCCGCGAATAATCAATCTCCAATATAGTTTCAATTTCTTTGAGTGCAATATAGTTTCTCTGATGATCGCCATGAAGGTCATAGAGGTCAGTGAAACAGGCCAATAACGGGCGGGTCCCTTGTGCAGGGAGCTGTGCTGCGGCACGCACGCGCCCTCCGCCGGCCTCGTGCGCCACCTGGTGGTGGGCCACGTGCGCGCCGCGCGCACCCACGCGCCCGCGCTGCTCGCCCTGGCCGGCCGCGCCGCCGAACAGGTGTCTCCCGATGCCCTTGCTAATTTAAATTGATGCTGAACTTTCAGTGTAAAATGTTAAAACAACGTATACTGAATGTTCAAACTTGTGTAGGATAAAGTTCAGTGATATCGTTTAAATTGCTTGATTTGTAGAAATCTCGCATCAGCAACAGCTCAACTATTTACCATCATGTTCATAAACAAGAAAGACTAGTGGCCCCAAAATCACACCCTGAAGAACACCATATACAAAACAGTGTCTAACGGCTAACCTAAATTTTGTTGTTTCAGGCCCGCGAGCTATTCTGCCACGTGGCGAACCTGGGCCGAGTGGCGGCGCTGGGCGGGGCGGCGCAGGGCGGGCCGCTGCGCGAGGAGGCGGCCGCGGCGCGGCGCCGGCTGGCCGCGCTCCCGCCCTCCGCCCGCTCGCCGGGGGCGCCCCGCGGCGACCTCGCGGCTTGTCTGCGCCAACTCGAGCGTCTCGAGCGCCTCGAGCACCTCGAGCAGCCGGACGTTGCTAGCGCCCTCCAGTAATGCTTATTGAGAGTTTTTTTTTATTTCACAAATGTGGAGTTCTCCCTAACTTTACTTTTGACGTGTAATGATCATACTACTATTTGTCTGCCGGCCGGACTGAAGAAAACCGGTGTCGGGAACAGAACGAATTTTAGTTACTGCATCTCGTCTCTTTCACGGAGTCTCGTCCGTTTCACGGTCTTATACTGCTGCACAGATCTTCATTTAGTATTATTTTTTTAAAGTTTTGTATGTATCCATTGTGCTCAGACCGGGAATAAACGTTAATCGACACTCGACAATGAATGTTTCGCTCGCAGCGGCATAGCGGGCGCGGAAATCGAGGAGGCGATGTGTGAGGCGCTCGGGTCGGGGCGGGCGTTCGTGGTGCACTTCGTGCGCAGCTCGTACCTGATGCCGAGCGAGGCGGTGGCGGAGGCGCTGGCGCTGGAGACGCCGCTGCCCGCGCTGCTGCTGGGCTGCGCGGGCGGGGTCGTCAGGGCGGCGGCCACTGTGCCACCGGTGAGTGACTCTTTGTACATAAATGAACAAAAACTCAAGAACAGACGTCTTCTGGTCTTACCAACTGAGCTAAGCCGTGCCGTGAGTCACAGTGCCACCGATTAGTATACTTCCCTTCTGGATCGTCACTCACTTCTGAATCGATATCATCGCAGCGTACTTCTAGATGACTATTTGTTTACAAACCGAAGATATTCGCAGTCATTCTGTTGAAACCCTATCATTGTAATCATGACGCGCGTGGAATCTATGGTCGTGAGTTAATACCTAAGGGTGGCGTTATTTAAGTTTTTTTTATTCTTACGCATTGGCTCTAATTAGTAACGTGACAAAAGTCTTAAGTAACTGCGAGCTGTTTAGTCAGTATTCACTCATCTTAATTTTATTTAATGGAGAAAAGGGACGAACGAGCAGGAGACTCACCTAAGTGATTACCACCGCCCATGAAAACCTGCAACATCCTAGGGCTTACAAATGCGTCGCAGGCTTTTTAGGAAACAGTATGCTCTCTTGAAGCTTCCCAGGTGTTAACAATTATTTTTTTCTGGGTAAAACAATATGAACAGTTACTAGCATAACCTATGATTTAGTCGCATAAAGTAACAGCCTATACATGTCCCACTGCTGGGCAAAGGCCTCCTCTATACAGAGGGTATCAGGGCATAGTCCACCACGCGGACTTCACATATATTCGATTTTTTTATTATTTCGAAAATATGCAGGTCTCCTCACGATGTTTTCCTTCACCGCGGAGCACGTGATAAGTCAGCACTTAAAGTTAAAAACTTTATCGGTGCCGGCACCGGGGATCCAACTCAGGTTGCGCGAGTATATATTGAATTAAAGGCGAGCGCCCGGACACTGAGCTATCACGGCTCTCTCTCGTCGTATATCCGATAGTAACGTGGCTCCGGAGACTGCAATAGATCTTCTAGGTCGAGGCCATTGGTCGCACTAAGGGGTGAGTTGTGCGTGCAGACGAGCGCCAGCGGACTGAGCGCCGAGCGCTGGCTGCAGTGTGCGGCGCGAGTGTTCAACGCTTCGACTCGCCCACGAACGCCACACTCCGCCGAGATGGACGCCGTCAAGGTGACACTTGTCGCTACTACTACTTTGTGGTTGGGGGCATCATGAAATTAAAAAAGTAAAGTAACAGCCCATACATGTCCCACTGCTGGGCAAAGGCCTCCTCTGCACTGAGGGTATCGGGGCGTAGTCCACCACGCGGCCTCGCTGCGGATTGGCGGACTTCACATATCTTCGAAATATTTTTTTTGTTATTATTTCGAAAATATGCAGTTTCCTCACGATGTTTTCTCTAAAAATTAGCAATTTCATTGGTGCCGGCGCCGGCGATCAAACTCGGGTTGCTTGAGTATATGAAATTAAAAGCAAGAGCCCGAGCAATGAGCTGTCAATACTACTACAATATTATATAGCCTAACAAATACTTGGGGGCACATTATAAAATTAGTCTCAGCGTACAATCATTATCATTATCTATAGCGATAAAATTACTTGTAACTCACACAAATACTATGAGACCAAATAATAAGGAATTTTGAAGCCAACCAATAAGCAATTCAGCCAAGATAGTAACTCACTATGTGAAAAATAAAAAAAAAATACTTCTAGATTCCAACAAGTAATATACACACAACTCTTTATGACTTTTACATAACATATAAATGTTATTTGTTTATTATTTATTCTGTTTGAATATGAACAAGATTCAGAAGTCATTTCTTATTCAATACAGTATGAATTAAACCTTGAAAAATTGTATTCATTCAATGCCTTTTTTATTTACAGGTGAGCCTGATTAACTGCGAACAAATGGTACAGGACGCGATGAGAATTGCGATCAAATTTGCACAGTCTCATATCGACAAACCTAAAGAAGACAGCAGCGGCGATACAGATACCGCTAGCGAGAATAGACAGCAAAACTAATGGTGGATGCTGTTCTTATAGAAAGAGAAATTGTGAAATAAATCTTTTAGAAAGAAGGAAAAAGCCTCTCTAGAAATTGTGCATGAATTATGTAAATGTAGGAGATATTTAACTATAGTTCACTCATGGAGAAAGAATAATAAGTTCGTAATGACCTAGCATTCTTTTAATGTATTTTTCACATATTTATCTTTTCAGGTATTAAGTCTTTTCCATGAATGTAGTATAGTATAAATGGTGCTTTGATTTTATGGTGCTGATATAATTTTATGTAATGGAACAAAATATATGTAGCAATTCCTTCAGCATCTTAGTCTCCAACAAAGGTAGTATTTAGTTACTTGCTTGTAATTAATTCCCTTTTCATTAATTTATTGAAGACAGTTTTTAACTTTTAGTTATTTTGTAGATTTTTTTTCAATCAAGCAATTATTTCACTATGATTTCTATATTAAGGTTTTTAAAAAAAATAGTAAATAGTTGTTACTTCCAATACTAAAGGTATAAATAATTTCTATTTGATTTGTGATTATATTCGACTTGAATACTAATGAAAGTATTATCTACCTCTATGAATGTAAATGAAAAAAATTTTTCTTTTTTACTATGTCTTTTATTTGTTGAAACAACAGTTGAAACTATTTACATTGTATAGATTAACATTTACTCTTGATCCTAAAAAGGAGGACAGTGGCCAGTTTTTAAAACTGTACTTATTCATTATTTACAAAACAAATGCAAGTTGTCTACACAGTATTGTATAATGTGCATAAAATACTAAAAATATTTCGTTACAGATAAATTAAGATTTTCAGTCAGTGTTACTTGAGCCAATAGGGCAAAGGGTTGTCTCCAATTTCCACACACAAGAACCCATGCTCGAACATTAGCTGGCAAGCTTTACGTAGACTTGTATATTTCTAATTCAATCCGCGCTGCCGGAGGTGAACTGGCTAATGATTATCCATATACTGCAACTCGGAGAGGAGCAGCACCGTAGTGGGCAGTGGTCGGGGTTGAGGCGACAGGATCGTCATGGTCTGTCGCTCAGTGTCCACAGCCGTCCTAAGATGTTAATTAATCTGTTATGCCCTCTCTTGCCTTATATTTTAAACATTTTATTATAATATGGGCATGAAAATATTTGTTGTAATAAAAATAAGGAAATTATGTTTTTATAAATTAGCACGTTTTTAATTTCCAATAAAATATGTGGCTTAATACGCTTTTTCAAAAACTCAACTCGTTCTATCCCTGTTTGTTTTTTAAGCATAAAATATTGATGACTCAATTAACGTTTTTGTTACAAAATACAGTAATGAATTAGATAGATAGGTGTTTTTGAATTGTTAAAATGCCTTTACAACACAAGATTATCTTATCCTGCAGTGTTTTTAATTTAATAAAATAATATTTTTTTATAAAAATCTGTTACGAACCTCTTCTTTCGCTATTACACATGTTTTTTGATTTTGTCATCCAGTTTAAATGTAGACACTAAGTAGTAATTAAATATTAGCATTAACTACTTAGAAATTCTAGGCCTTGAAACTGGCTCAAACAGGAGGAGCGAAGTGGGTTGGCACTTGGTTGGTTAGTAAGTCCCAGTAGTCCCTTCGAAAACATTGCCCCCCATTGTAAGGACGTACACCCAGATCCGAAACTTTCCGAATCGTCCCCGCTCCAACGGACGAGAAGAGAAGACTCACACGCAGACGAAGCCGGCCAGGTTGCAGTGCGGCACCTGGTCGTCGGGCTCCGCCGCGAAGGAGACGGCGAGCAGCCGGTGCTGCAGCGCCGGCCCCGCCGCCACGCCCACCAGCTTGGTGAGCGCCTCCTCCGCGCGCATGCCCAGCGGCATGCACGAGTCGGGCAGCGACGGCGCGCCCACCTGCCGACCGCTTCGTTACAGGCCTGTCGCTCGGTAAGGGGTGGTGTTGGTGATATATGCTCAGGTCTAACACTAAGAACACCTACAGATTATCTTAAAAATTTTAGAATACCATCTTTTATCCAAAATAACAGAATAATTGTCGCTGGCGCTATGACTTCGTTCGTTGCCTGGCAACGGCGAGTGAAGGTCACACTAACCGCCGCTTTTCGGTTTAGGAATCGCGCGTTTGAAGAAAAATAAATACACGTGATATCTTCCTACACCCCCCTCCTCCCTTGTGATTTTTGTCAAACCCCCTCCACCCTTCCTTCTCCTCCTCCACGAACCTCATGTGATTGGAGTGACAGTGGAGTAGAATAGACAGCCTCTAAAATCTTTTGTCCGACCAATCCATTAAACTTGTAAAATTTCTAATAAAATTAGTTTTTGAATAAAAAAAAATATCTAAAAGTGTGCACCTTGTAGATCTTGAGGTCTGAGAACTTGACGTCGAACGAGTGCGGGTAGTAGGGTGTGCGGCGCCCGTAGAAGTATTCGCGGATGCGAGCGTCGCGCCCCTCCGCCCTTTGCGCCCCTGAACGCTCGGCCACCTGCAGCAACCATCGACTTTATATTGTGATGACAATGAATCAAACGCCATTGATGGTTAGGCGGCAATAGAAACTTGAGATTATCATAGCAAAGATCGATTCTCTCAATACTGTACAAAAATCACTGGTTCATGTGGTCTACCAGTGAAAACAAAAACGGCGTAGTAAAATATTAATATTTTTTTTCAATAGCGGTAACAAAATATTTTCCTCTCAACTCACCCCTCCACTCTTCGGTAAATACACAACTTTGACAAACTTGGGCATGTCCCTTTTCAGCTCATTGTATAGCCTCTCATTATCTAAAACTAGTATAACATCTACCTGAAAATAATATAAATATAAATACTGCGCACATTGATGCCCCGAAAATTGTCCAAAACAACTATACTACATTAAAATATGTAGAAAAAGTGCGAACAGATTGTCGCCGCTGTGGGACATTGCTTCAAATGCTAAGAAAACAATGTGGAAGAATGCGTTAAGATTTTCGTCGGTGTGGTAATCAGCCGTTTAGCTCAGTGGCTAGAGCGTCAGGCCGCGAATGCCGAAGACGTGGGTTCGATTCCCACAGCGGCGACAATCTGTTCGCACTTTTTCTACATATTTTAATGTTCAATCTTAAGTGCAAAGATTAGCACTATAAACAATTTAAATAACTATACTACATTATTACATACTTCAAAGGCCTGTGCAGCATGCGTGAGGACTTTATAACCAGCACCTTTGATCCAACCACATGTATTGATGATAACCCCAGATGTTGATGCTGAAAGAAATGGCCAATAAAATAAGTTTTTTTTTTTAAATTTACTAAGGTCATACAAAGAACTTTCTTTTGGGAGCCAAAATAGTAAGTTTAAAAATGAGTACATGAGTTGCTTAACTGGGTCACTCCTAAAGTTTATTGAACTATAACTTCTTCAGTCCCACAACCCACAATTGAGTGCTGATGATTTAGCCTAATACAATTGAAAGTGCTGATTTCATCATCATCATCATCGTTATCAAGACAACAAGATGTCTTCTTCTTTCCTTTATAGCGTTTTTATGAATACGCCAATGACATGTGAAAGATGCTTTATCAGTTTAAGCTTAGATAGTGAATAAATAAGAGAAAAATTACTTTGCGAAAAAAGAGGAAATTGTGATATTATAGGCACGAAATAGAAATAAATTTTGATAATACTACTCTGTTAAATTACCTAAAACAAACGACAAGATGTCCACTGTTGAACATAGGCCTCTCCCTTAGAACGCCACAGCAAACGACACTGCCATTCGCATCCATCGGTTGCCCAAGACTTACGATGTTGTCGGTCTACCTAGAGGGAGGCCTAACAACGCTACGTCTTCCGGTTCGTGGTCGCCATTCGAGAACTTTTACTCAAGTGCTGATTTAGCAATTTTAATTCACACTTGAGCGATAAACCAATTAAATTATATTGCCTTTTATATTAAACTTGTTTTATCTTCAAAGTTTGAAGATGTCCTAGGCATTTATTTTGGATGAACAAAAGTAGTTTCGACTGGCTTGTCTCTTAACCTGTTGGTTATTGCATAAAACATGTTTAAAAGTTTTACCTTTTTTATTATTCTCACATCTCTCAGCAATGACTTCTGCTAGTCTGGAGACAATTGTATTATATAGCTCGATATTTTCCTCGGGTGATTTGTGGCCAAAATGATACACTAGTGGAGCTTGCTGGCTAAATCCTTCCTCAATAGATGCTGGACGCTCCACAAGCAGAGCCCCTAGAAAAAATCCAATTTCCTTTTCTGTAGCTTATATGTGCTAAATCCATTATTTGTTTTATTGCTGAATGTGTTAGCAGTGGTTGTTGTTTACATATTGAAAAAGACTCAAGAGGTAGGTAGATTTAGCTGGCATTACTTTGTTAATGCCATAACATGCATAAGCTTTAGGTGCACTGATTTACCATGTTGCAAAAGCATTAGACAATCTGTTTCAACAAGTATTAAAGCTTCAACTCACTATTTTTGTACATTTGTTTTGACAATTCTACTCTTTTTGCTATTGACTATTAATCTGTTAACAAGATGACCCTAATATTGCTGTAAATTATCCTCAGAGAACTGCATGTCTAACACTCCCACTGATTGCAGAATGGATTTACAAATGTAAAATCGACATGAACACATTCACATTATTTTTTAACAAAATACTTTAAAAATTAAACTTTCCATAAGCTCTGTACCTTATGAGGAATAGAATTTATGGTTTACTCTTTACGTAAAAGCAAAATTATAAATAGGGAGAAATGTCACCAAGGGGACATTGAAATTGTATATCAATTATGGCCCTGAAGGCCTTTGACTATAATAACCATTGGCTGGGACCATATACTGGTCTCATATATTTCATAAAGACACAATTAGAGTGCATTCATCCAAACAAAAGAAGTGCTCAATATTGGCACTTACCAATTGTTCCTGGAACACTGATGTGACCCTGACCAACATCCAAGTCAACATATATAGGTCTCCTTCCCATCCTCACTGCATAGTTAAGTAGCAAGCGAGTAAGAGTTGATTTCCCTACATCGGTGGGACCTACAATCATGGTCACTGGTCCCCTTGTGTTTTCCTGTTCAGCAGCAACTCGCTGTTGCTCTAATGCTGCATGTACATTCAAGTAGATTACCTGAAAATACACATTAAATATACAGCGTGTCTTTACAATTAAAAAAAAAATTGTATTACACATTTACATTCTTTAAACATCAATATTTACCGAGTTATTAAAATTTCCAAAACAAAGAATTTTAGAACAACCTTACATATAAAACTGTAATGTAAAGTTCATTTGTAAAGGTCACAAAGCATATGAATGTGTTGAAAGAATTTAAAAGAAACAAAACATTTATTACGTGTTAGTAATGCGACACCGTGGCAACAAATGAAAAAGTCTCTGAATGTATGAATCAGTCAGTTGTATTTGTATTACATGTTACCAATTTTGTTTCTTTTTTACTTAGTTTGTTTAAAAAAAATTGATTTTTTTAACGTTAATATTTTTTATGATTATTGGCAAGTAGCGTTAGACGTTAATTTAGACGTCCGAATTTTTTTAACATTAATATTTTTTATGATTATTGGCAAGTAGTGTGTTCATTTATTGTCGCGGCGGTAACGCTAAGTAGCTTGTAGTGAATGGCATGTAACTAAATAATTACAAAACAAAAAAATCATACTGGAATAAATAAGCTCTTTAAAGTTGTCACTCTAATGGTTGACCTGACGTTGAAAATATTCAACATATTTATTCTCAAATGAGATAAGCCTTGTGTCATTACACATTGGGCTCAAATGTAAGACAGGTTTTCAGTGACATATGGTACATTTAATATGGTAAACATAACATTCAGTGGAATTAATTTAAAAACAATACATATAAAAAGCAGTTATTAATGTAAAAAAAAATAGTTGTAAAGGGTTTCTTACCATTGGTGTTTCTTTAGCCACATAGCTAACTTCGGTTCTACCTCTAAGTTCAACAGTGCAGCCATGCCACGTGAACACTGCTACCTTGGCACCTGTGTGGAATTCGTATGGTTTCCCCTTAACCAGTTCTGTGCCGAATAGCTCAGCATAACCGCTCTTAACCTATAAAATATAATAATAATTAAACTAAAACTTCGAAGTAATCGCCATTACAAATACTTTATTACGATAAGTACGATTTAAAATACCTCGAGCACCACTTTCTCGTTCTTAGATTCAACCTCAAAACGAAGCTCTGAATCAGGTTCGAGCTTAAATTCCTGTAATTGAACCTCCGTCATTCTTAAAACTGATTTTGTAATTGGTAAAAATAAAATAAACCTAAATATGATGTTCTTTACTTGATATCCCAATTTCTCATTAAACACAAAACAATAATAATCCAATGCAATACAAAACACAACTTTAAACTAGTGCATAATAGGGATGTCATGACATATACATAATATCAATTATCATAGACCATCGATTTTTAATGATGTCACAATCGATTTTTATAAGCGTAATAACCTAGCCAATACTAGGTACTCGGCACAACCTGAGTTCTATCCTCGCTGCCGGCCGGGACCAATGTTAATTTAAATACTGTCTTAGCACGTGCTTAGCGGTGAAGGAAAACATCGTCAGGAAACCTGCATATTTTTGAAATAATAATAAAAAATCGAAATAAAAAAAAAATGTAGTGACAGAGATTTCACGTCTTTATCCCTTTTAAGAGAAGTAAAGCTCTGATTTTAGACGATTTAATTATGTATACATGTTGACAACCTCTTATTTAAGTCATCACTTTGAGGCGGCTTCAGAAGTAGCTCAAATAGCGGGATAGGAGGCCCTTCGTTTAGATTATTACTAGCGACCCGCCTCGGCTTCGCACGAGTGCAATGTATTATACATTTAAACCTTCCTCTTGAATCACTGTATATAGTAAAAAAACCACATCAAGATCCGTTGCGTAGTTTTAAAGATCTAAGCATACCTAGGGGAAACACAGACAGTAGGACGGCTTTGTTTTATACTATGTAGTCATTTGTCCCTCGTTCTACAAAAATCTAAGGTCCGGTGACCCACCCGCACAACAGCATTTTTATCTTAAACTTATCACTAGGGCTGATGATAAGAAAGCCCTTTTTTCTCTCAAAGATTAAGTATACAATATTCAACGAAGAAATGCAGCTAGCGTTGTTGTTACCGGCATGGGCTAGGTTTGTTAAATAACTTAGTTTTGAAATAGGTCTTTTTGTTATTAATAAATAGATTTGTTTTTAAAACGTACGTTTTTTTAATAATTTTTTTAATAATTATCCCACTCTATTCTGTATGTAAGTTTGATCCACATTACTATATTTCAATAGTGTGATTACTCGTAGTGAACAATAACATTAACCAAATATACCAATTGAAAACAAATGACAACAAATCCTATCTATGACACAATCACATAGTGAAATATATCGATACGACATCGAGTTTTACGTTATATTATTTAACATATTTTATTTTGTTTACGATACGTTTTTATTATGTACGATTTTATTTTTATATTAGTATTGAAAATTAAAATTGAAAATTCTGTGTTATAATAGCAATAAAATTTTATTTTGACAGTGTAAATTAAGTAATTTATGAACGCAACCCTAAATCTACTATATCGCGCGTGAGCTAAATTTGAAACATGAAAATATGGATCTATCAAAATTGTTTTAGACTTCAAAAACAAATAATTTTTTACCAAAAATAGCACCAAATTAGAAATGTGAAATTCAGTGTGAAAAAAATCTTCGTCCGCGGTTCATCGGCGAAGAAAATTCTGGTCAGAATCGTAAGTAACCTCGTAAATAATATATTTAGAAAATGACGTGCGAAGCAATTAGTTAAAATTTCACAAATACCGCATAAACATATCGATTTGTGTACGCGGTGTCGTGTTAATGCTTATGCTGTGTATAAATGTCTTGTGGGCAAAGTTTAGCTTCATTATATTACTTACTGAATTAATTATATGATATTTTTTAAGTATATTTATAATATATTTTTAAATTTAAAATTCTATTTATTACGAAAAGTTATATATATATTAACAAGAGCTCTATATTGTCATTTGTTTTGTAAGAGCCATGGAGGAAGAAGACTATCGTGTGCCCAACATTAAGGTACCCTCTGATGATATTCCCAAAGTACACACAAAATGCAACCACATCCGTCCACACACGTCCAGGTTATTAATACTGTTTAATTATTTATATATTATTAATTTACATATTTTATCAATTTCAAAATCAAAATTTGCTAAGCATTCATGCTTGAAAATTGTGTAAATAATAAGACATTACTGTTTAATTTTTGATTTTGACATTGGATGTTATTTTTCTTTAATATGATATTCTTTTTGTATTAGCACAATTTCAAATTTACACATTTATTATTATGCTTTATAATATGACATATTTTTTCTAAGTTATTTTGTATGTAAGTATTACAGTATATGTATTTATGTTTATATAAATTTGTGTAAAGTTTTATATTTATACATACATGTAAATCCACTATCAGACTTCTATTATAATTTTTAATACACAAAATGACTTAGAAACTCCTTTGAGGCTTAATTATAAAGGGTATAACTAAAGTTCTCCACAGTAGGATCATAAACTTGATACTCATTAATTTGATTATTTTAGTATAATTTTCTTATTCATATTGAAAGAACTAACCCATTTGATTTGTAGTCGAAATTTGCATTCACTCCTTTACAAATGCATAATATATTATATAAACTAAACTTAAAAAAAATAGAAACAAAACTCAGAAAATACCATTTTTGGTGAATTTTTAATCACCATTTTGCACAATACTTCTTGCTTTTAGCAGAGAATAACAATTTACAATAAATTGTTCATTTTTACATAAATTATAAAAAATATTTAATTAACATGGACCCACAAATGGTCGATGATCATAGAAAGATATTTAAATTTCCCAGGCAAATATTTAAAATTATTCTACATGCCATTGTCAAAACCATAAATTTGTGTAAACAAAACTTTGAATTTTAGTTATTTGATGTACAACTGAATGGATAGCAATATGGAATACCTTATAATATAAATATATATAAACTAAATTTTACATAGATTATTTAATAGGTTTCATGGTATTCTTAAGAGAAGCTATTTAAAACTGTCTTTTGCAATTGGCACACAATATTATTATTATTTTATACATATTAGTCAGTTCTACTTACACAATTATTCTTTGGCCGCTTTTGTTAGCATATATGCCAAGGTTTTCTTTTTGTTATAGCTTTTATAGATTTTAGATTTTTGGTATACACCCAAGGTCATACGACCTACATATAATTTTCGCACATCTGGGTATTTGTCCATGGGCAATCCACCTTTTCCTTTATAAAACATCCTTACAATATGGAAATGTATTATCCGACTTCAAGGTATTTCTTTTTCTAGCTATGTACCATAAAATAAAACTGTTTTAAGGTGTCCATACCCAGAATCATTATCACCATCATTTCTGCCTGTTTCAGTCCACTGTTGAACTACAGACTGGCACAACCATGATCCTGAGCCACCTGCATCCATCGACTTCCTGCACATGATAATACATGCCTAGAATGCTATAAAATATTTGTAATATCGGAAATTGAAATTCAGTGCTAATAATTGTAAAAAATTTAATGCATATTTTAACATTTATCAAGCTAATTCATGTAATAACAATAATGCATTTATTTTATACAAAAATCATGGCCCAGTTTTACCATTCAGCTCGTAAGGTGCGAGGAGCTTGCGCCGGTTAGCACGCGATCTTGACACGGCAGCACCATATGGTGCGCTCGGTGGTGAGGCGAGGTTACAATCGCGCAGACAACTAATTCGCTGCAACACTATGTACATCCAGTAAATATAACTATTCAAATACCTAAACAGCCAAACTCCCCTCGTCCGTGTAATATTTGTTGTCTATAAACTGTAATTGTTTCTTTTAGACGACTTTAAGAATCGTTAATACGAAATATGACATTTATACATATAATGATCGGCAAATTTTATTCTGTTAAAATTCGAATTTTTTTATTTATTTGTTAGCTTAGCGTTACTAGAAGAGGAAGCGAGCTAATAAGTTTAAAAGAAAAAAAATATTGGACAGACTATTTCTTTGCGATTTAATAGCATAATATGCATTTATAGTTGTGTCTAGCTGTGCCCGCGACATCGTACCCGTAGAATTTGAAATAAAAGGAGCCTAAGTAACTCCTTATTATATTAGCTGTCTGCCCGTGAAAGTCCCGTCAGAGATTATCCGGAACAAACAGACATACAGACAAACATTTTTAATATTAAATGAAACTAGTTTACGGATTTTATCGCGTTTTTTATTTTGATTTGAACTCCCGACGTTTCGAACCCTTTCCAGCGTTCATAGTCACGGGACAGACATCATTTGCGTAAAATCAAGAAGAACAAGTGACACCGTTCCCATTGAATCGCTTTGCTTATAAGGATCTTTCGGTAAAGCTCCGTCGAGCTTATCAGTAACAATTGCGCCAGTACATGTCGTGAGAGGTCCCAGTGTCGGTGGGGAGTCGCATCAGGCCATAGCAACCCCCTTCGCCGTAAACAGTCTCGAGCGGCGGCGTTCAGTCGCCTCCGGCCTCCCGACCGCGTCCGACCGTGGCCGGTGACAGTGACAGCGAAAAGCGCGCGAAACCGTGCGAACGACGCGCCATTAAGCCCGATTGGTCGCGAGGCGTTTCCGCACGGTGACTCAGGCAGGGCCCGTGTGTTCAGCCCTAATGGGAAAAGTTTTTGTGTGAGTATTCTCAGCATACCGTTCTAAAATAAATGTCTTCGTCATCCTAATCATCGCGCTACCAACGTTTGCAAATCAGTTAACGACTGCTTATGCTTTTAATTTTTTGCGTACTTGACGTCAAAAACATATTAATATATAAAAAAATATTAAAACAGGACTTTACGAGGAAACTTAACTGTATTACATTTATACTTTTTCTTTCTTTATATCAATCCAGTCTTAAATAAATTTAATGTAACTGAGCGGATACTAAAATGTGATTTTTTCTATAGGAAAGATACATTATAAGTTTCAACATAAATGCAGAAATTAGTACTAAAAACTAAAACTAATTATGTGCACATACTAACTTTAAAGTCGGAGTCGTATTAAGAAACGAAGCAGGCTCAAGCAAGCTCTCAGATTAAAAGGCGGGCAAAATGCTTTCGCTTATCGTGGCTAATACCGTATG